TAACAAATTTAATGGTAAAACTCGATAAGACATTTGTATTCTAGTACGAATAAACATAGTAAGAATGAACATATTTGAGTAGTACTAATAATCAGAACGCTGAGATCTTTGACTAGTTGCTGATGGCTTCTGGCTAGCTTTGGGATGTGTAAAAGGCAGGTCTTCGATTGGGATCGATTTAGTCGGGTTAAGGGCCGGGCATGTAGAACGGCCCAAGGGTTGCCCAAAAGCAGGTGCCTGCCGCAACCTTTAGGGTTTCGTTTCAAGTTCGCCCCCCCCGAAGGCGGGAAGAAATATTCGAATAAAACTACAGTCGAACAGCTTTGGCTGTTCTGTGGCCGGGCTTCCAGCTCTACGGATGAATTCGCTGCTGCCCTTATTGCCCAATACCCCTGAGTTATGAGGAAAATGCCTTCCTTATGATGGTGTAAGGCGTGCTCCTGAAATAGGGGTATTGGGGCTCTTTGAGTTTCCCGGCCTCCTGCCCACACAAAGCTTTGCTTCTCGAATGTTTGTTCAATGCAGGCTTAGTGCTCCAGGATATTCAGCTCCTGCGACTGTATCCTAAACCCTAAACCCTAAACCCTAAACCCTTAACCCTAAACCCTAAACGCTGCTGTAAAACTCAAGCAGCCGTTCAGCGCCTGTGCATCTTCGACACGTCGTTGCCTGAGTGCGGGAGCAGGCCCAAGCGTGCATGAATGGCACTCTAGGCGGCCATCTGAAATTCCAGATGCTTAGCACCAAAATCTACAAGCAGGGTCCCTCTATAGGGTTTAGGGTTTATAGGGTTTAGGGTTTAATACTGTTTGGTAGAGTCGAAGTAAGCCCCAAACTGGGCTATACGAACGAAAAATAAGGCTATGAAAGCCCTTAAGAAGAGTTCTTCTAGCGTGTGGTCCCTGCTTGTATAAGCACCCTCAAGAAGCAACGGCTCAGGCATGCGTTTCGGGATGGGGGCCCCGTCTAGGGTTCCTACATGGGAGATACCCCGGCGTTACTTGAGGAATGTCGCGTGCCGCCAAAGCCCTGCGCTTGGAAGTTCATGGGTACTTAGATATAGGGTTACGAATAGGGTAATTGTAGTGGTACTTGGTGATGGCACTTGTAGGGAAACTCAAACCCTAAACTCGAAACCCCAAACCCGACGTGCCCTCAGCCGCTCAAGCGCCTCAAGCAAAACCCTAAACCCTAAACCCCAAACCCTAAACCCTAAACCCCCCACCCCCCACTTCGAAGTATCCCTGAACCTCCAAAAGCCCTGGGCTCAGATCCATGCGCGACATGAGGTAGAGGATGGCGCTGAGCCCCCTTCCGGGGCCTGTTGGCCCCTGGTGCCAGTTTGGGTTCAGGGTTCAGGGTTCGGATTTCATGGTTTAGGGTTTTCGACTCTCAGTTTAGGGTGTAGGGTTTAGGGTTTAGGTTTCTCACACTCGCACATGGCCGGCAAGGCATGTTTAGGGTTTTCGGGTTATGAGTGTTTGGGCCGAATTTTCGTTGAAGGTTCCTTGCTCGACCACGAAGAAAGGGATCGATGAAAGTCCGGCTTCTGTGCTTTCTAAATGCAAAAAAAGGTTGCTTGGCACGACGACTCCCTTTCCTGCGAGTGCGAGCCTACATGTATTCAGCAGTAATTCGGTCAAAGCATCGCGAGGGTGCAACTCGCCGTGAAAGTTCTAAGCCTGAGCCCGATCAAACCTTATGGCTCTGAGGCGTTTCTGTTTTCAGTTCCTTTCCCTCAAGCAAGCAGTGTCACTTCGGGTCCTGGATCTCGGCCTCCGAGTAGTGCGTGCGGCGGAAGTACCCGCCTCGCACATCAATGTTGAGGGCAGTCCCCTAAACTAAACCCAGCACGCTCTGGCCTTGGGGCAACGCATTCAGGCGACACGCGCGTGCATCCTCGACAGGCACTGTACATCAGGAATACCTCCCAAACCCAACAAACAACTATATAAGCCTGCCCTTAAACCCTTAAACCCTTAAACCCTAAACCTTGGTCCTTAAAACTACAGGGTGCCAGACCGAGCCATCAAGATTATCAACCTAGGAAGGGCCACTGCAAAAGAGCCTCAGCATGGCAGATGCTCGCCTTCGGGCACCAAGGGCTCGAGATCCAACTTTTTTGCCAGAAGCTGCACCTGGGTTGCTGTGAAGGGTTCTTCAGGCCTACTCTCTCTCTCTCTCTCTCTCTCTTTCTCTCTCGCTCGCAATCTCGCTCCTCTCTCCCTCGCAATCTCGCTCTCTCTTCTCGCTCGCTCGCTCTCTCTCTCTCTCTCTTGCTTGCTTGCTTGCTTGCTTGCTTGCTAGGCATATGACCCCTGTGAGGGGGCCGCCCCGAGGGGCACGCACGACAGAGTCAATCGAAGTGAGAAAGGTGCACGTGGGGTTTGGCCTGGTTAACAGCGAGCTTGCTTGTTTGCTTGCTTGCTCTCTCTCTCTCTCTCTCTCTCGCTCTCTTTCTCGCTCCGTCTCTCTCTTTCTCTCTCGCTCTTCTTCTTCTGCTGGGCATGAAGGGAACCCCCCGAACTCGCTCTCTCTCTCTGTCTCTCTCTCCCGCTCTCTCTCTCTCGCAGACTTGGATCCGTCTGTAGCCAGGCAAGCAATGCTCCTAGTAGTGCCATGCCCCACCGCTCCTGAAGCTTTCTGCCCCATCCTGCCCCGTCCAAATGTCGTCGTTTGGGGTTGTGGCGTCCTAAACCCTAAACCCTAAACCCTAAACCCTAAACCCCAAGTGCCTGCCGCTTCTGCTTAGACCAGGGCTTCATCGTCGACTGCTTCTGCTGCAGCCATGGCGCCCTTTGTCTGCCGCGTCGGTTTTTCTATGTGTCGTGGTATCTGGGAGAATGTGTCCTGAACCTCAAACTCCAAACGTAAGCCCATAAACTAAAGACGTGGCTTCATGACACCTGCTTCTGGAGCGCTTTCCTTTCCGAGGCCTTGCTCGAGACGTGCCAAGCCTTCCCCACGTTTTGTGTGTGTTGTTTTCTTGTGTGTGGGTGGGGGGGGGGGGGGGGAGGGGGGGCAGGGGGCGTGGTGGGGCTGTGTGGTCGTAGCCTCAGGCCTAGTGAGCGTTGAGGTTATATGAGATAATTACACTAATTACATTCGGCCGTCATGTATGAACTTCCTCTGCCTGTAGGCGTTTGCACAGAACATGGCTGTGTGAAGCGGAATGAAACAGTTTAGGGTTTAGTGGCTGCCAACCCTACTATTTGCTTAAGAACCCCCCCCCCCCCCCGCGAAATACAAGATCATCATCCGTATATTACCCTTACAAGGAAGAACATCTTTAAAGCTTTGGGGGGTTCCTTAGCAAGTAGTAGAGCCTGCCGATTGGAACGACTACCAGGCCAATCCTTGCGGGCGGGCTGGGCCGAACCCATGTCTTCATTGGATACAACCCTTTCAAGCGAGACCTGCAAGCCCTGATCCCTAAACTCGAAACCGAGACTTTAATGTGAAGAAGGGGGGGGGGGGGGGGGGGGGGGGGGGGGGGGGGTAAAAATCTTCTTTCTGCTCTGTAGGTGCAGAGCTGTCAGTTGCACCCTAAACCCTGCAGCCTAAACCCTGGTAACCCCCAAATCCTCAAGGGCCCTCATTCCCTCATTGACCACTAAGAACCAGGGGGCACAGGCACGTGGTCTGTTTCGTGAGATCTCTCTCAGTCTGTGCTTCAATTCTGGGTCTTTGTTTCACGGCCAGAAGGTGCTCCCTCTGCAGTGGCTCCCTAAAGGCTCCCTTGAGGCAGGTTTTGGGCTTATAGAACTTGCTTCAAGCAGGTGCCGTGGCGAACTTAGGGCAAGCCCTAAACCCTAAACCCTAAACCCTAAACCCTAAACCTAAACCCTAAACCCTAAACCCTAAACCCTGAGTTGAAGGAAATTCGAAGTTCGGCAAAGTGCCAGCCAGGGTTGCCACATTGGGGAATCCCTTCAGGGCACGCGCTTTCTCCTAAGGAGCTCTTGGCCCTTCGCCACCTTAAGCCTGGTTGAACCCGTGGTTTAGGGTTTAGGGTTTAGGGTCTAGAGAGTTGAGGGTTAAAACCATGAAGAAAAATCCACATATTTCCTCAGAGCCTCCGAACCCTGCAACTTTGAGTTTAAAACCCATCCTCAAGATTAATTCTTAAACTCACCCTAAACCCTACACCGTAAACCCTACACCCCGAGTGTGCAAAGTTCAACCTCCCAGTTTACAACGGCCAGAGGATCAAAGGCCTACCAGGACGAGTCTGTTGCGGGCGGGCCAGCAGCATCGAATTCGTGCTACCTACATGACGGAGGGGCCTCTGCTGCACTCTTTTTGTTTGTAGATCTTGCTGCTCATAGCTCCCGGGCAAGGCCCAGGCAAAGGTTTAAGGCTTAGGGCCTAGTGTTCCAGCTTGTTTTGAGGGATCTTCGCAGTCTCCAAGGGCTCGCAAGGCCAAGCCCACCAAGCGCTACACACACACACTCTCTCTCTCTCTCTCACACACACAAAAAGAGGGAATGTTCTCAAAGAGGGTCCCCCCCTAAACGTCATGCGTTTGACGAGCAGGGTATTCTCCGAGGGTGTCCGTTCGGCAGAGGCCCAAGAGCAGCCACGAATCGGAACATGGGAAACCCTACGCCTAGCTTTCTGACCGCCCTGCAGCAAGAGCATGTCCGGCAGGGTTGTCCAAGCTCTCAGGATGATGAAAGAGGATTGGCCATGCTGCACTGCATGCCCCCACTGCAGGAATTCCACTAGTTCTGCACACAAGTATCGTAGGGAGGGCTCTCGACGTGTCGGAATGGGATTGCACAATCGTATATTCATACAACAATATAAACATATCATAATGGGATAACAAGTAATTATAATGGTGTTAGGACTGTGTTTGTATACAGGCCCAGCTTACGACGACGGGCTGCGTTTGGGCTTAGCATGTTACAGGTGCTCTCCAGTGTGATCCCTGTCACAGACGGGTTTGTCGGGTTCTCAGCAAACCGACCATTCGAGAGCACGGCAAAGAAAGCTGCTCACTTTCCCACGGCCTGCTGGCAGAACTCGGATTCACAGCCAGTAAGGCCTAAACCCTAAACCCTAAACCCCTAAACCCTAAACCCTATAGAGTGAGCACAAAAACCCATGATCTCCCTGCGTCTGACCAGGGCCTTCAGCGCATATAGTTAGGCATCGCAATGCCACCGATACACCCGGCGAGGCTTAAGGCAAAGGCCGAAAATCGGGGCCTTAATAATTCAGAATGGGGTTTTGGGGGTTATTCTAGTATAATCACAAAGGGACCATGAGGGAATACCATTCATTAGTAACCATTCCGATACCTCTAGTACATTCAATCCATGATCCTCGATTCTGTGGTGACATAGCGACTCTTGCCTACCCGAGAGAAGCGCATGGCCCATTTCGCTCCCAGAGCTTGCAGCAAGGACCCCAGACCATGACCAAGCGACCTTCCCAAGTGCCCGAAGCACCTGACGCCCGTGGGACCTATGCAAGCTTAGTCGTGTCATTCTTGGCTGCACTTCGTAGGGTAGCAAAATATTTTACTTTTTAGTTGCCTCATCAAGAAACCTAAAAAACCCCAAAAAGGCTAAGGAGCTAAAGTTACAGTAAAGCACCACAGAGCATTGAGGCGCGAGTTGGGGGAGGACAGGCCAGCGCACCTTTCGCGCATCCTCCTCCCTCTTCTCGCGGTTCACGCGCCTTCTGCTGAACCCTTACCCTAAACCCTATATAACCCTAAACCCTAAACCCGAAAGGGGTCTTGGGGGGCTCGGGGGCTGGGAGGCCCCCAGGGCTTCGCCCGCTCGAAATTTCAAAGCTTGAGGCGCTTGAGTGGCTGAGGTGGTGAAGGGGGCCCAGGTAGACTATAAAAAGGGTGTACCCCTAAACCCTAAACCCTAAACCCTAAACCCTAAACCCTAAACCCCTTCTATCGTAAACAACGACATCTCGTAGGTATCCGTTAGTTGTAGGGACCAAAGGGATCTGAACTGTGCGCCGCCGCGGACAGCTATTAGGTGGCTTGCTCTCTTTAGGGTTTAGGGTTTAGGGTTTTCGGGTTTGGGGTTTAGGGTCTAGGTTTCGGGTCTAGGGTACCTCCATGGGTGGGGTTTGGGGCTCTTGTTGCTCAGGAACTCAGGGCAGAGGGTTCGGGGATCCGGAATTTGTGGGCAATTGGGCGCTTTAATGGCCATCAGCGTCTCTGCGTCGTGGTCTGAACAAGACTCGGAACACTGGACTTAACCCTAAACCCTAAACCCAAAACCCTAAACCCGAAACCCTAAACCCTAAACCCAAAACCCTAAACCCCAAACGGGGAAAAGGTTACGTGACCCTTGGGCTTGAGGGATTTAGACAGTTTTGGGGTTTATGGGTTTAGAGCCTTCAGGTTTGTTGCCCAAATAAAACGCTCAAGGTTGCCTACCCAGCACCCAAGAAGAAAGATGGAGAGTTTTTTTTGGTCATTGGGGAGTTTTGCACTCCCTAAACCAGCGCCCCTTAACTACAGCAACTACAGGGTTTTAGGGCCTTTTCTCAGACCCCATAACTCTGTTTACAACTGAGGGTGGTGGTGGTGGTGGTGGTGGTGGTGGTGGTGGTGGTGGTGGTGGTGGTGGTGGTGGTGGTGGTGGTGGTGGTGGTGGTGGTGGTGGGGGGGCATTTGTAAAACGTTATACCTAAACCCCAAACCCTAAACCCTAAACCCCAAACCCTAAACCCTAAACCCCAAACCCCAAAACCCTAGAAATCCCAGACTCCCAGAATCTGGGGCCGGCGCATGGCATCTCGAAGACCGGCGCGATCTTCGTCGCTCGCATTTTTGTACATGTCGGCCAGGAGCTCCTCGATGGGTTTAGGGTTTAGGGTTTAGGGTTCAGGGTTTCGGGTTTGGGGTTTAGGCGGGCTCATCGGGTCAGGCTTTATAGCCAGGTTCCGGACTCCTGGAAAATTTACAAAGGTTTCGTTCACCTCAAGCTGATGTTGTCCTTGATGAGTGGATTTTCAACGGGCACATGGTAACATCTCAAATGGGGATTGGCTCGGGTACGTCTCACAGCTACAAGCCGGGCGGGACGTTTAGGGTTTAGGGATGTCGTGCCTCGGTTCTCGTACCTTACAGGGGCAGGTTTGAGCTTGAACGCTTCCGGATGCTTCTGGGCAGTTTGGCTGTTGGTGAAGTGGCACTTTTTCCTGCCGGCATATGCCATATGCTTGCTTCGTTCTTGCACTTCTGAAGATGCTAGTTTGGCAGCTCTTGCGGCCAGATGCTTAGCAAGCAAGGATGTGGGGGCTTGAAGGCTTATGGAGGGCCCTGTGCAGGCGATGCAGAAGAGGCACGAGGACCTTCCCGTGGATCTAGGACTTGGAGGGTCCGTAGGGTCTGTAAGGTTTAGGGTTTGGGCTGAGCAAGAACGTGTCCATAAAGCACCCGCGCAATCGACCCACAACAGGTGCGACCTCACTGCCAGCAGCCCAACTGCCCGCTGTTTTGCAGCCTAAGACGAGTTTCAAACCAAGGTTCCTAGATGAGGTTTTTAAACTGGCAAGGAAACCCAGAACGAGAATGAACAAGGGCACTATATGACTAAGTCCTATAGGGGCCTTAAATCATTATAAAAGGGTTTTGGGAGGCTATTATAGTATTTTTTAAGGGCCCATAAGGGAATACTATTAGCAAGTATTCCGACCCCTATATTACTTGAGGTCCAAGACCAGGATCACTCCCAACCGACCCTAAACCCTAAACCCTAAGCCCTAAACCCTAAACCCTAAACCCTAAACCCTCGCGGTCCTCCGTGCTTGCTCCCTTGAGGTCTCCGTGCTGGATACCTTGGCCGTAGACCGATGCAAGGGTCTTGGGGGTGTCGGGTCGGGATGCTCCCCCCTTATACTAACAGTCCTTAACAGGGATGATAACAGGGGCACTGTAATCCCTATTAAGGACTGTTAGATTGTCGGGTCAGGCGTGTTGTCTGCGCCCCCAGAGCTGGGAGAAACACTCCCTGACATCAAAAAATCTCCACGCCGCGATATTACACATACCTGCGCCATGCGACAAGGCTAGTCTCCCCAGAAGAAAAATATACGAGCGGTAGCTCAAGCCAGGGTCGACATCTGCAATGCAAGCACTACACCGAAGATTACCTCAATCAAGGGGGCAGCAAACCCTTTTTCCCTAAACCCTAAACCCTAAACCTTAAACCCTAAACCCTAAACCCGAACCCTAAACCCTAACCCCGAAACCCTAAACACTTCGGACCCGAAACTGCAAAACCTAAGGAGGGCTGGGCTCGCAGGACGCATGAGGACCCGGCGATATTCTCGCTTCCGCTGGTACCTTGCGGCTGTCTGAAGTTCATTTTGAGGGGCTTATTTAGGGTTTAGGGTGTATACGATTTAAGGGCCTTGTACCTATAGAGTGGGGTTACAAGTACTTTCTCTGGTAAAAACTAACAAAAACATTTTCTTGCCCTACTTGTGACCCTCAAGTGGGCTGTGCATAAACGGCAGATGATACAAGCAACCCCATGCTCTGCATGGCTAGGGGAGGAGCGCTGGAGGTCCAACATTGTCTGGGGGTTCTTGGCTGACTTCTGAACCCGTCCTAGAAGTCTAACTTGTCGGCTCCTTCTTGTAGTTTCTCCAAACTCACAAAAGGCTAAGGTCCTAAGAGCCACTCACAAGAAAGCCAAGTTTAGAGCTAGGGGTCCGTGGAATCACAAAGCGTTTAGGGTTTAGGCGTAGTACGCAGGGTTATCGGGCCCCAACAAACGCCCCAGAACCCTGCGTATGCGCCGAAGCCACATAGAGCCCTTTTGATTCCAGGGACCCCTGAAACCTAAACACTCTGTCTGTCTCTCTCTCTCTCTCTCTCTCTCGCACGGAGAATCTGCCACCTCATGGGCGCACTAATGGGCGGCACTCACATAGCAAACCAGGGTTAGTTCGCGCATGACTTGCAAAGAAGGAAGGCAAGCTCTAGAGAAACAGCGTCATGCCCTAAACCCTAAACCCTTTTTTCTAAACCCTAAACCCTAAACCAAAAGGGCATCCTCAAGTCGTTCTCCCAGTGCCTGTCTTTCTCATCGGTCAGGTCAGTCCAGCCTTTGAGGGACGATCGGGACGGCTGCCCTGAACTTGAGGAGTCAGTAAACCCTAAACCCTAAACACTCAACACTAAACCCTAAACACCTCACGGTTCCCTGAAGGCTGCCGGCGCGGTAGGAATTTCTAAAGAGGCAACTCATCAATCATTTGCCTGGGCTCCTCGCCCTGGAAATAGCTCTGACGAGTCCAAACAGACGTCCTGGGGAAAACCCTAAACCCCAAACCACCTCAGACTGCAGATTCGACACCATCCCAACTGGGCCACTGGCTTCCGAGGCGTGCTTTTCGGAGCTTGACCACCACCTCCCATGTGGGCTCGGAATTGTGATGAGGCGTGGGGCAACTAGCCAGCATAAAGCTAAAATGACCCCCCTAGTAGTAGACTTGTAAGGACAGCAGCCTGAAAGAGTATAAAGCTAAAATCACCCCCCTAAGTACCCGAGCTGGACCCAAAGCGATCTTGATTCTTTTTTGGGCCCTGTTCTGGGTAGAGGGAAATTAAAGCGACAAGAAGAGACCATCACTCGGACAAAAAAAGCGAGCAGGTGTCGCCAAGCAAAGCATGGTCTGCAGGAGGCGTGCCGCCCGAGCTAGACATTGGAACCCCTTCGTGTTGAACACGATAATTAAGAAATATATGATCGGGTTTAGGGTTCCCTGATGGGGACCCCCAACACGGGCACCCCCTAATTTTCGGAAGCACGTGCCGAACCTGCATGTCAACTCGGTGGCTTGCACCGTCCTCTCTAAACTCAAAACACCCAAAAATTGCTAAGCCCTAAGCTCCACCTGAAGCCCAAACCTTTTCTTTTGTAGGTGGCCCAAGCCTCCCGTAATGTGTATTTTGTGGTTGTAGCTTTTGTACCCAAGCCGAAGTTCCACAAGGCATGCTACCAGAAGGGCTTCCCTCAGGGTTCTCGGTCGTTGTTATGGTTAGGGTTTGAAGTGAGCAAGGGTTAGGGTTTATGGCTTAGGGTTCCTGATATGTTTGGACGCTAACTGCATGTTCCGGGCATGGTCTGGCAACCCCAGGGTTTAGGGTTGAGGGTTTAGGGTTTGTTCTCCCTGCCGCACAAGACTTAAACGCTACAACCGCACACCTAAAACCCCAAAACCCCCAAAACCCCCAAAACCCTAAAAACCCTACAAACCCTATAAACCCTACAAACCCTACAAACCCTATAAACCCTGTAAACCCTATAAACCCTATAAACCCTATAAACCCTATAAACCCTAGAAACCCTATAAACCCTATAAACCCTATAAACCCTATAAACCCTAGACCCCCTTTACGGCTAGGACTGCTGCAGGCTGCAAAACCCTAAACCCTGAACCCTAAACCCTGCCTGGTCTGCTTTGACCGTTCGCTTCGACCCCTCGACATCGATTGGCTGACAAAGGTTGGGCACCTTGTACCTCGGTTTTGTCCTAGGGCTGGGCCCTGCTACCGTGCTAGGGTTTAGGGTTCAGGGTTCAGGGTTTAGGAATCCTAAGCCACACGAGGAAGACTTAAGCCGCCATGACACCTGCATGCCATTGTATTTGAACCATTTGCCAATGCTGGAACAAAGGGCTTTAGGGTTTAGGGTTTAGGGTTGGAGGAGGGGGGGGGGGGGGGGCTGAAATGGCAACTTCTAAACAAATCGTCCACTTCGGGGTTACTCACATAAGGCGGCCCCGAATATTTAGGGTACTGTACCCAAACGGACCATCATTTTGAGACTTTGCCAGTTGGGGGTTTTCGACAAATAGGGACCCGCAACAATAGCCCCCCAAAGAGTAGGATCCCCTGATAACAAGGACCCCCAATAAGGTGCACCCAAATTTCGGAGCCTCCATAAATCCCTTGTGCAACAGGCTTGCCAGTTCGCCCCAGAGTTGGTGCCACTCGATATCAGCAGCTTCGCTGCCATCCAAGAGCAAGCATTCGCCGATCGACGGCATCTGAAACCCTAAGCCCTAAGCCCTAAACCCTAGACCCTAGACCCTAAACCCTAGCTTGGCTGCACTTAGGAGGGTAGCTAAAAATTAAAATTTTAGCTGCCTTATTAAGAAACCCAATAAACCCAAAAAAGGTAAGGATCTAAAGTTACGGTAAAGTACCACAAACCCTAGGGTTGAGAGACCAGACTCAGGGTCGGGCCAGTGGCGCTTGCCTCCTTGGTTCAGGATGAGCAGCACGCCAATTTCCCTGAAGGGCACGGGATCCGATCAGGTCTTCCGAATGTAGTTGGGTTTAGGGTTTGGGGTTTGGGGTTTGGGGTTTGGGGTTTAGAGTTGAGGGTTTTTTTTCGCTCCCGCGGGTTAGGGTTTAGGGTTTAGGGTTTAGGGTTTCGCGAGTCGGGCTTCGGCTCTCACATTCGCGAACAGGCCTGCAAAGCTTCGGTCGGTCGGGTTTAGGGGTTAGAAGTTTAGGGTATATTAGGGTCTCGGGTGAAGCAGAAGACTCGAACAAGGCCTCCAAAAATGCCTTATCTTTAGCCCAAGCACGACAAGAACTACAGTAGCCCCTCAAAACCCAAACGCCCCTAAAACCTGCACCACAACAACCTTCCCCAAAAAATAGTCCCCTATGCCCCGCAAAACCTGGCGCGTCACACAAACCCCGATGTAAAGTCCAAAACGCCCCTGAAACGAAAACCATACGCAGTACAAGAACTGGCCCCCAAAACCTGTTTTTGTTGCATCTGGACTGCGGCAGCCAATCTAAACCCTGAAATCCTAAACGCCCCTGAACACTGAGACCCAGCAGCCCCCAAGTGCCCAAGCACATGAACCTGCCCCCGCCTGAAATGAACTTGAACGTCCTCCTCCGGAAGCTTCCCGGCCTTCAGTGGCAAAGCGGAGGGCTCCCAGGGAGATGTTCTATAGGCTACGAATTGCTGAAGAACCCCCCGCCCCCCCAACAAAAAAACAGATTCGCCCTTGCAAGGGGAACATGGGGATGATTATCTTGTACTTTTTGGACTTCTTAAGCGATGAGAACCAATTCAGGCAAGAAGGAGCCGTTCATTAGCTCGGCGACCTTCGACGAAATCTTTTTTTGGGGGGTTTCTGCTTAAGCAAATGCTGGTGAATATAGGGCCGTGGTTGGTTCTGTTAGGTGAACGTGCTCTGTTGAGCTTGCAATGGCTCATCACTGGAGGGTCCGAAGTCATGCATGTGGTTCGGCACCCAGAAATCAGACCGAATCGGAATAACCAAGGGTGCCCTTTTTGGTTTAAAGGGGCTCATAAGGGAACCTAAACACAAAAAGGCAATACGAGCCTACTCTGGGTCCTGGGAAAACTTCGGGTATCTAATCCCAGAATGATTTGATGCCCAAACTGGTTCGGTCTCTTAGGGTTTTAGGGTTTGGGGTCAAGGTTTTTTTTCTCAAAGTTTTGCAGGGATTTGGGTTCCTCAAGCTAGGGAGCGCAGGATCTTTTTCATCACCTCATTGCGGCTCTGAAAGCGTCGGTTTCTAGAGCTTCCTCTTGGCTGGCGCAGGGTCGAGCTTCCCTTTCTCCACACCTCCGGTTCTTCTTGGGGGGATATGTTGGTAACCCCTAGGCCCTATGCGATTTGCTTCATGGCCCACGTATGGGGCTTTCAATCCCGTGTGTGACACGTGAAATTTGGAATTCCGCACCTACATCAGGGTGCCCAGGACCAAGCCGCGCTCCTGCAGATTTCAGTCTGGGGTTCGAGAGGGTTTCGGATTTCGGGTTTAGGGATGTTGAAGGTTGAGGGACTGCCTGGACGGCTGCCCCCGCCCCACCTCGCCTTCCCCAATTCTAGTGTCCTTTTTTAGCACTTAAAATTCTCAAGCTTACTATTGAAGTGAAAGAGTGTTGGTGCACGCAATAAAAAGACTTCGTGAGCGCGCCAATATACTTCTGTTTCCGTTCGTTTACTCACACACTAGATTCACGCACTCACTGCGTTCGCTTGTAATTTGGTATGCTCTTTTCGCTCTCTATAGTCAGTACTATGAAAATATCCGCGGCATAAAGACAGTAGAAGTCTTTAATGTTGGCTTGTGAGTGAATATACTAATACTGTTAATGCGTCAAAATCATAAATATCTTTTGTGGAATAGCACAGAAAACTCTCAGAACGTATAGTTTGTCAACCATGGCATCTCGCAAGGGAGCGGGGTTTGGGTGGGGCCAGAATGGGCAACAGCAGGCCGGAAAGAAGCTGGGCTCTCCCCCTTCAAGGGCACGCAGGGTGAAACACACATATCCACGCTTCACTAACCTAAACACCCTGAAGCCCTGCTACACATAAGACATCCCTATACATCCTGGTCTTGAACTGAGCCCTTCCACCCTTCCCATGCTTTCAAGGGCTAGAAACCCTAAACCCTAAACCCTAAACCCTAAACCCTAAACCCTAAACCCTGGGATTAGGAGCTACTGCAAGAGTCCTGCTGGTCCAGGGACTTGAACAGCTTCTCAAATGTGACCTTCTTGTCGTCAATGGAGAAGGTCTGAAAGCTGGTGACCCACTCCTCAGAAAGAGAAACACGAACCCTATAAACCCTGTCTCAGGTTCAGGCTTTCTTCAGGGACTTCTCAACATGGCACCTAGACTTGAATTCTTGCATACTCGTGTTGCTCAGCTTCGCTGAGTCTTACCCTGAACCCTAAACCCTAAACCCTAAACCCTAAACCCGGGTCCTCTGGGAAAGTCACTCCGTGGTAGAAGTTGGCATCCAAATCCTTGGCTTCCGAGATTCTCATGCTCGACTCCTCGACACCCCCAAGAATGCCGGGATCTTACGCGCTACTACTGGCTTTCGGGTTTAGGGTTCAGGGTTTAGGGTTTAGAGTTTAGGGTTACTAGTATTGGGATGTTCCCCCTTATGCAAACAGTCCTTACTAGGGTTCAGGGTTTAGGGTCTTAAGCATAGATAATATTCCGAAGTATGATCCTCCAATATGGGCAAAAATGCAAAAAAGGCCTTGCTTACCCAGCCAATAGGCGAGGATTGCACCCTGAACACCCTCCCCCCAAAATCGGCCCCAAAATCCGAAACCCTGAGCCCTAAACCAATCTCTCAAATCGGCTCAGATGCCTTGAGAACTTCCTGGCCGCCCTTTATCCTGTTTGAGATCGCTGGGTTGTTGATCAGGTCTATGAGGTGACGCAGGAACCTCAGCGGCGACGAGGAGCGGGTTTAGGGTTTAGGGTTTAGGGTTTAGGGTTTAGGGTTTAGGGTTTAGGGTATAGGAAGGACCCACGAAGAGGTGTATTCATCTCGGCTTCCTGAGGGCCTTTTTGTATCTTACTCGTTGGGAGTACGGGGAGGGGGGGGGGGGGGGTCTCGGGTCTATAGAGGTTTAGGGTTATAGGGCTTAGGCAGGAGCATGCGGATTCTGAATTGCAGTGCCCCTAAACCCTAAACCCTAAACCCTAAACCCTAAACCCTAAACCCTAAACCCTAAACCCTAAACCCTAAACCCTAACCCTGTCACTTTGCAGTTTGTGCTGCCCTTGCAAGGCTTAGAGCCGAAGTTGCCCCTGTGCTAGTCGCCGCCCCTAAGCCGTATGCTTAGGCTTCACAAAGCCCCAAGCCCTCAGCCCCCAAACCGAAAGCCCTAAACCTGAAATGGAGCAATTCCGTAGTAAATAAGGCCTTCCATCTAAACGATTTAGGGTGGTCTGGTTGAGAACTGAGATATGTTAGGTGGTCAAGCCCCGCTTTGGATTTGCACTCTTGAGACACTCAAGCTCTCTTAACAAGATCTTTCTTAAACGAAAACTATACAAGGGCGTTTGGGGGCGTTCTAGGGGAACTTACTCCCTTTTGCGTTGCCCTGCAGTGCCTCCCCCAATATAGTATCGTAACCCTCAAGCCCTAGATGACCTACACAAAAGTAGCTTATAGGCTTTCTTAAGGTAACCTACAAAAGAGTAGGTTTTTGGGTTCTTAAGGTAGATAACCCTGAGCCCCAAACCACCGGAGGTGTCAAGGTTGGGCTTCGACCCTCACTTCGCACGAGGCGAGGCTTCAGGGTCTCGGCTCGGCGGGACTAACTGGCACCACGGGTCAGGGTTTCGTGTTTCGTGTTTCGTGTTTCGTGGTTTAGTGTTCAGTGTTTAGGGTTTTAGGCTTCGGGTCTAGGGTTTACGGTCAGGCCAGTTAGCCAGAGCGCTGATTTTTGTTGCCTCCCGGCTAACTGAGCTGAAGTCACCATTGCAGGGCGTGGCGTTGGGTTCAGGGTGTAGGGCTTATCAGTGTTTAGGGCTATATAGGGTTTAGGGGCCGATAAAAGCCGATTCGGGCTTGGGACGGTTTAGGTTAAGATACCCTACTAAGAACCCCTACAGAACAGAAACCCTGTTAAAGAGACCACCAAGCAATACCCTAAACCCCAAACCCTAAACCGTTTAGGGTTTACCTTGGGGCCGCGAGGCTCCACGCGCTCCTCCTGGTTCGCGGAGTTCCAGAGATGCACGAGCCTCGCCCAAAAGACTCTAACCGGTAAGTTTTGGGCTACGGTAAAATAGGGGCCTTAGGTTTTTTTTTGGGGGGGGGGGGGGGGGGGGGGTGATTGCCATAAGGGAATAAGAATAATAATTGTTCCGACCGCTATAGTAGGTTTTGGGATACGGGTGTAGGGATTTTCGTCGCTCGCGCTCGGACGAGCCAGGGAGGCGCACAGTGTCCTTTGTCCTTCTCTGACTTGTGCCAGTGGTAATACAGGGTTTAGGGTTTAGGGTTTAGGGTTTAGGGTCCAGGCTTGAGTGTTTAGGGTTTAGGTCTACGGGCCAGTTACGGATTTAGGGGGTCATCCCTGAACCCTACAAACACTCTAAGTTCAGATGCGACACACGGCAGCGCCTCTAAACCACCCCGTCATACAATGATAGACCCCAAGTGAATCCTGGATCTTGAAAACCCTAAACCCTACAAGCCCAAAAACTCCGACAAACAAAAAGCCCAAACCTTACACCATCAAAGAGCTCCTTTATAGTCCCCCCAACCCTGTGAACCCCAAAACTCCTAAAACCTTAACCCAGTTCTGGGCTGAAGGCTGGGGGGCTTCGCCTCCGAAAATCAGTCATTTCACATAGGTGTGTTAGGTACAATATGAGGGTTTTGGGGAGTTGTTCTCTGGCACCCCGCCAAGCAGGTAGGGTTTTTGGGGTTAAGGGTTTTGGGTTGGGGTCTGGGCTTTATAGGAAGTTGCAAGGGGATGATGCTGATAGTCCTTCTAAGCTCCTGTTTACTTCAATTGAAACCGACCTCATGGCATCCCTGCCTGTGCTCTCAACATAGAAACCGTACAGGGTATGATGTGGGCGAATAGGTAAATTGGATGTCGCGGGTGTGGGACCTTGTGTCAAGAGAGCTCGCTTTGTTACCCAGATGAGTCGTGTTCAAATTGGGCTGCTGTGGGTTCTAGGGCCTCAGCACTTCCCAGTTGCTCAGTAATTAGCCAGGGCCACGAAAAAAGGTGAGCCTTCCAATTAGGGTAGGGATACGTCTACCCATAAAGGCTACCTACTCAGCTGCTGAGACTATAAGCAGCCAGGCGACGTCTGCATCCTCTGCGGCGCCGTCATCTTGCTCCTGGGCACTAAACCCTAAGCCCTAAGCCCTAAGCCCTAAACCCTGAACCCTAAGGGTGTTTAGGGTTTAGGGCTCATGGAAGTGCCACCGAGGCAAGTTTCTTAGGGGCTTAGAGGCCCCTCGGCTTCGGGACGCTTCTACTAAAGAACTCCAACAAATAGTACCCTGTCTTAAGGAAGAACATCTCATATTTTTGGGGGGAGTCTTAAGCAAACTCGTAGGTTTCGCAAGACCCTCCGACAAAAAAAAATTACTGCGGCGCAGGGTCTGGTAATAACTCAGCCAATCTCCGTCTGGCAGCTCCAGCTTCGGCACGTCCGCGAGGGGCCTGCAGTGCCTCAGTTTGCCAGAAGAGCCCGGGCCTTTGCGGTGTAGGGTCAAGAATCAGAAGCTCGAAGCCCAACCCCTCCCCCCCCCCCCTGATTGGCATGTTCCCCCTTAACTAACAGTCCTTTGTGGGGAGTATAGGACCCTCCCATACTAATTCCCAATTGACTGTGCGCATAAAGGGGAACATCCCAAACCCTAAACCCTAAACCCCAAACCCTAAACCCGAAACCCCAACCCCTAAACCCTAAACCCTTTTTGACCCCTGGACCCTAAACCCTAATCCCTAAACCCCAACCCCCTGACTTCCTCTCCGAAGTGGCTCTTCAGGAAGCTGCACCGGTGCTGCCGGGCCGGCGGGCTCGGCCACAGGCGGTGGTGACGGTGACGGCCTCCTGGGGCTTAGCTTGCAGGTTGGGGGGTTTAGGGTTTAGGGTTTAGGGTTTAGGGTTTAGGGTTTAGGGTTTAGGGTTTACGGAGTCTAGGGTTTAGGGTTTAGGGTTTAGGGAGTCTAGGGTCTAGGAGTCCTTCTCAAGCATGAAGTAGCCGGGTCGTGGAGCAGGAAGAACTGACTTCCCAGTAGAGTTTAGGGTTTAGGGTTTAGGGTTTAGGGTTGCTCACCCAAAAGAGAGAAGTGACTCACACATTAGCGACACAAGGCCTGTAAGGTTTAGGGCTTGAGGTTTGAGATTGATATTGGCTAGGTCTTTGGGTTTAGTGGTTAAAGCTTCATAGGTCCGGCAGGTTTACCAAAAACTACTATTTGCTTAAGAACGCCCCCCGCCCCCCCCCCCTCAAAAAAAAAAAATAAATAAATAAATAAAATAAATAAATAACAGAAGTAGAATTAAACATATATATATATATATATATATACATGTAAGATAGTAATACATAAATATATATATTGCCCTTACAAGAAGAATATTTAGGATTTTTTTTTTTTTTCCGGGGGGAGGGGGGGGGGGGGGGAGGTTCTCAAGCAAATAGTGGATGAGAGAGGAGAGGCCCAGCGGAGGCCAGAGAGGCCTTCCTGCCCCAACAGCCGTTTAAAAGGGAAGAATTAAAACCCTGAGCCCTAAACCCTAAACCCTAAGCCCTAAACCCTGGTAGAGGTTGAGAGCTTACAAAGGGATGGTGTGCCACTCACCTGGCTGGAGATCTCGTTAGGTTAAACCCGAAAAACCCGAACCCCAAGCATTCAAAACCCACTGGAAGAAGCAGGGAAGATATTGGGTTTTGCTGGCGGCTTGGGGTTTCGAACGTTCGCTATCATTCGTAATTCGTCCGATGAGAGCTGCATCTCGCTCTCACACTCACTCCCTGCGCCAAGATTCTTCGGCTGCTCGTCATCGGAGTCCTTCCGGCGGGTGATCAACTACTAGCCTACCTGAGCCTACAGGCCATGAATCAAAAACACCCCGGGTGTGTCGCGGGGCCCGCCCCCTGTTACATACACATGTCGCGTCGCGCGCCTGTCTCGCACGCAGAGGAAAACTTGAGAACCAAATGAACCCTAAAAGGGTTTATGGTTCATATACCTCAATAAGGAATATAGTAGTATAGGGGAGATGGTCCCAATTTTAGTGCTCATGTGGTTCCTATGGACGGGAGCAGCTTAGGGTTCAGGGCACCCTAATCGCTAAACCCTAAACCCTATAAACCCTCTTTATTGTTCCAAACCCCACATGTTCCAAAAGGGCACCCAAGGCCCGACTAATTCTACAGACCCTGAACTTGTGAGCCGCCTCTCTCTAGGGTTTAGGGTTTAGGGCTTCGGGTTTCTGGTTTTTTGGGGGGTAGGGTTTAGGGTTTACCCCTCCCGCTCCCCCCTCCCCCCCCCCCCCCCCCCCCCCCCCCCCCTGCCCCCCCCCTGCCCCCCCCTCCCCCCCCTCCCCCCCTCCCGGGTGGCTTGGACTCTTCCGCGCTATGTGACGCGGGGTTGGTGGGTTGGTCCTGGCGGGGTTCCGCAGCGTTCGTGGGGTTGCGCGGGGTTGCGCGGGGTTGGCGGGGGGTCGGGGTTGCGCGGGGTTCGGGGTTGTGCGGGGTTCCCCCCCAACGCCCTAAGGGTACTACAAACTCTTTTGAGCTCATCCCTTAAGGTCTATGCAAGGTTCACCCTTGAGTCATTGTAGGGTTTAGGGTTTAGGGTTTCGACACTTTGGTTCCTCGATCTTGTCAAACTTGGAGTAGTCGATGCCCGGCATCTTGTGAGCCTCCATTCAGGGTCCAGAAGAGCAGACTTAGGGATGAGGGTTTAGGGTTAGAGGACTTGGGTTTAGGGTGTGGAGCTTAGGGTTTAGGGTTAGTGGACAGTTGCTATTTCTGTAAGCCTGTCTTATTGAAAAAACTGGGTGTTCATATGCCTGGTAAAAGACTGCCGGAGACTACCCACCCAAAACTTCGGTCGACTGGGGCACCTCCGTACGACCCCCAAAGCTTGAGCATTGAATCTGAAACCACCGCGATTTTGGGCAAGGCCTGTAAGGTTTAGGTCTACACGTCTCGCTCGCACCTAAGTTAATTGAGGTTGGAGCGTTGTCAGCATTCTCGCTGTTATGGGGATTTATGGGGATTTGTTGGGATTTCGTGTGTGTGTGTGTGTGTGTGTGTGTGTGTGGGTGCGTGCGTGCGTGCGTGCGTGCGTGCGTGCGTGCGTGCGTGCGTGCGTGCGTGCGTGCGTGCGTGCGTGCGTGCGTGCGCGTGCGTGCGTGCGTGTGCGTGCGTGCGTGCGTGTGTGGGGGGTTCGGAACTTGCGGAAAACACACAAAATCGCCCAGCACCCGAAAAGCCGTACTGCGAGCAGCAAGGCGCCGGGCGGTCAGGATCTTGGCCGCCCTGCAGGGCCTCGTCGACCCTCTGAGAGCCCAATCGCTGCGCGACGCACGCTTGCAGGGTTTAGGGTTTAGGGTTTAGGGTTTAGGAGTTTAGGGTTTAGGAGTTTAGGAGTTTAGGGTTTAGGGCATTGTAGGGCCTTCCGCGGTGAGAGTTGGATCTAGATCATCCGAACTTTATTGGCCCGAGCACCGCCAAGAACCCTAAGCCCTTGAAGCTACAGCAGCGCACTGCGCACCTCCCCTAAACCCTAAACCCTAAACCCTTTTTTTGCAGCTGGACTCCAAACCCTAAACCCTAAACCCTGGTACTTGAACCTCGCTTTATGTTAGCCGGCAATTTTAGGACTTGTGCTTGAGTCTCCAGTGATGATTTTTCGCTGTTTGGGTGGCTGGGGGCTTCCGGGCCAAGTCATATGTTTAGGGGCATAGCCCCTCTGATGAGACAAGAACCTGCTCAACCTACTTGGAGGTCTTATCAGTGGGATTAGAAGTACCCGACACAAGCGGATAACGAGGTCTGACCATACTAACCCTACTTGTAACCCTACTTATCAGTACCCATGAACCCTAAACCCTAAACCCTAGACCCTAGACCCTAAACCCTAAACCCTAAACCCAAAACCCTCCAAGCAGACCTAGCAAAGCCATGACATGAGCCCAGAGCCCTGCGACCAATTGCTTCAGACAAGTCGGGAGGGTTTAGGGTTTAGGGTTTAGGGTTTAGGGTTTAGGGTTTAGGGTTTAGGGTTTAGGGTTTAGGGTTTAGGGTTTAGGGTTTAGGGTTTAGGGTTTAGGGTTTAGGGTTTAGGGTTTAGGGTTTAGGGTTTAGGGTTTCTCTTGATTCGGGTTCTCACAAAACTTTTACAGTGGATGATCGGGTCTTTTTTTCTTTTTGGTGTCTTGTTCAGGGTTTTCACAGAACTTTGCAGTTCACGGGGCCTTTTAGGGTTGACCTTCTTTAGGGAGACTACTGGGTCGACGGCGCCATCGAAGGGCACGTAGATGCTGACCGTCCTGTCGTTCTGATCCTCAGGGATCGAGATGAAGGGCTTGGGGGGGGGGGGGGGCACTGGCGGGATGCACTGTGATCTTCACTTAACCCTCTCCTACAAATTGCATAAGAACCTGCGCCCCCAAAAAACAAATTCTTCCAGACAAGAGCAAAACAGGGATTATTGTCTCGTGTTTTTTTTTTGGGGGGGGGGGGGTTCTTGAGCAAATAGTAGTCTCTCTCTCTCTCTCTCTCTCTCTCACTCAACCCCAGGACAAACCGCATTCGACTGCTGCATAGAACAAGGCCCCGGCCCAGGAGAATCTGGAGATCTTCGAGGACATCTGAGGTGCAGTTGCTCTATCGGCAGAATCTGACATGCTATGGAAGAAGCCCTAGAGCGATGAGGAGGCCCCCGGATTTATCAAAACCCCGTACCCCGTTATATTAAATGCATCCCATTGCAACATGTTGCTTTGCGTGTGTGTGTGTGTGTGTGCCAGTCTTTGCAAACCGAGCTGAAACCTTAAGCCCGAAACCCTGAACCCTAAACCACAAACCCCAGCGAACGGCTCAAGCCTAAGTAAGCTGCCCCCAAGTCCAACGACATGGATGATCCTAATTTGCGAATAGAAGTTAGGAGTCTGAGATCCTTGGCCAGGTACGTGCGTTTAGGGTTCAGGGTTTAGGGTCTAGGGGTTACGGTTATGGTTTCTAGGGTTTAGGGTTCCACGCTGTGCTATAGCGACGCTGCCCGCAGAGAGCCGGACGAATTCTTCAGCAGGGAATTCCCGGTAATTGGCTAGAGTGGGCAGTCGAGCCGGAAGTTTACAGCAGATTGCAGCAGATCGGTATAGGCTTAACCTTCGGCTAAAGACCCTTAAGAAAAAAAAAGGTGACTGCACCAACATTTTGTCTTACCCCTTTTTGCGAGGTAAAAAAGGTTAATATAGGGGCCTCAATCATTAGAATAGGCTTTTGGAGGGTTAGTCTAGTATACTTACAGAGGGACCAGAAGGAAATACCAACGCGGAATTCTTCCGACCCCGGTGTTGCACTGGGCAGAGTTGAAAGCAACCCCACAGACTGAGCCAAGTGAGCGTCCCAGACAGTTCCACTGAGCGCGACGCATCCAGTTGTCGGTCAAGATCACCGAAATCTGCCTCTTAGGGTTTAGGGTTGAGGGTTTAGGGAATGTACAAGCCAGCTTCCGAGGCGACAAAAGGAACCCCTCAGCCGTGCTAAAATTTGCGCAAGAGATATCACTCTCTGTAGGCTCTACATTCCCAGACCCCCGGGAGGATCCAAAAAGTAGAACCCCCAAATAGTACCCTGTACTACTATGGGGTCATTCTTAGAAACCTACTTTTTGGAAACCTGCCAGGGGTCTGGTTTCTACCGCCTTGTTACAAAAACCTCGGACGAGGACGAAGCAAAGGAACGGAGCTCACAACTACGCATGTTCTGCTCAGCTCCTAACCCCTGAAGGTTTAGGGTTTGGGGTTTCGGGGTTTTAGGGGTTTTAGGGGTTTTAGGGGTTTTAGGGGTTTAGGGGTTTAGGGGCTAGGGTTTAGGGTTTAGGGTTTAGGGTTTAGGGCACCCCATGTAGCTGCAGCCCTTTCTGAGCTAAGGTCTGCTCTGAGGGGGTGCCTACGAGAAGGGTGCCCAATGGTGCCAAACCGCATTACGAGGGCGGCTCTAAAATCCTGAACCCTGAAGCCTTTTTCAAGCCTCAGCCTAAACCCTAAACCCTAAACCCTAAACCCTAAACCCTAAACCCTAAACCCTAAACCCTAAACCCTAAACCCTAAACCCTAAATCCCAAACCCTAAACCCTAAACCAAACCCTAAACCTTAAGTCCTAAACCCTAACCCCACTCCGAAGGCGCTGGCTAGTGGTCGGTTGTTCTCGGGCACCACCTGTCCGTCGCTGAAGGCACAAGGCCGGTTTAGGGTTTAGGGTTTAGGGTTTAGGGTTTAGGGTTAGGGTTAGGGTTTAGGGTGTAGGGTTTAGGGTTTCCTAGGAATAAAAAGGGTACCCTTTTTGGTTTTTACGGGGATTATAAGGCAACCCCAACCCTAAAAAAAGGGAAAGAAGGGCCTACTCCCAGTCCTTAGAGGCTGTTATGGATTCTCGCTTCTCTTTAATATGGTCCCTTTGGGGGTCCTTAATATAAGGCGCCCCCACTTTTTTAGGGGACCCAAAACGGGACCATAATTTAGGCAACTGACCTTATGTAGTTGTCAAAAAACTCGGTTTCTTTTTGGGCCCCCCCAAAAGGGACCGTAGTTCAGAGAACTACCCATGCAGGGGGATTTCTCTTACTGGTGCTCAGTAGGGAATTTGGGAAGTTAGGTACCCCATGTGAATCCCCTAAAAGGTGTCTAAGGCACCTACTACTTACTGAATTCACTAGGAAGAACATGTAAGCACAAATATCCGAAACCCTGAACCTAAACCCTAAACCTCGGCAATGTTTGAGCAGTGGCAGCGCTGCATGGTCAAGATCCCAAGATCGACATGCAACGAAGCCCTCCATGCAAAATCCCCAATTCACTAGGGGTGAGTTGGGATATGCTGACACTTGAAATTCTGATTGCACTATATTCTAATGAGGGCTTGGGAGGCTTCAAGGTCTGAGGGCTACAGTTCGGTGAATCGCATGCAACCCTAGACCCTCTCGCAATACCACGCTTGTGGCTGCACGAAAGTTACCTGGACCCATCATCGTGCAGTCGCCCCATCGAATCTTTGGCTTCCCGGCATTGGGGTCCACTCCATCCTCGACGACCAGCGCCTGGTTCAGTGCTGGGGTCGGCGGTTCGAAGTCTCTTCATCCCTGCGTTCCTTCATTCCTTCCTCCATTCCTCCCTCCCTCCCTCCCCTCTCTCCCTTCCGTGCTTGGGTTGCGTGTAAGTCGGCTCCTCCCAACCCTCTTATGAGCCTGAAGGTGCTGATGCCATGTGTTCATCTCTTCTTCTGCGGGGGCTTCGGAAGACCCCACCGAGTCTGTGTGCTGCCCTTTGTTTTTTTTGTTTTTTTCTCTCTCTCTCTCTCTCTTCATGCCCAGAACGCAAAGGGCGTTTGGCGCCTCTAGCTCTCAGCGATGGAAACAGGAGTTGCAAAGAACAACTGACAAGAAGTGCTTGCTGTTGATTACCAGGGGGCATGCTGGGGTGCCAGCCGACGCTGCTGTTTGATGATCTGCAACAATGAGGGATGTCAGGATTGAGGCGAGGCCTAGGCCTGGCATGCTTGGGCCCGCACCCTATCCACGTTGACCTGATCCCAGGCTTGGTAGTAGGTGTTCACATCCTGCAAGAAGGACCAGCTGGTAAAGGGAGCCAACTCAATGCTGAACAGCTTTGACGATTGTTGGGTGTACGGCTGCTCTGCACAGCATCTCCACACGCATGCCATGCCCACGCAATCAAGGGAGGCTCAAGTTGCTCCAATTTCGTGGATGAGGGCGGAGTTCTTGGAGGTTCAGGGGTACTTATATGGGGTTGGAAGTACCCTGGGCCAGGTTAGAACCAGTTATAACTATACTTGCCCTACCCATTTTCCTACTTGCAAGTATCCATGAACCTCCAGTACCTCCAAAGAGAACCTCGCGGAAGCTGCAAGCACAGCAAGAGCCAGTGTCGCCGCCAGGAGGGGGGGGGGAGGAATTGGTTTAGGGCTTACCTTAAGAACCCCAAAACCTACTTCTTTTGCAGGTTCTTCGTAGAAAGCCCCCTATGGGATTCTTATAGGATTCTTCTAGCGAACGTACAAAAACAACCCTAAACCCTAATCAACCCTTAACCCTTAACCCGTAACCCTAAACCCTTCTGAAAAGGTACTTCGCAGGGCGTAGACGGTGGGGTCCTTGTCATCACGCCGAAGTCTGGGATCAGTCCGCGGCCCCGCCGCAGAACTGGCCTTGGCCAACAAATCCGGAGGGTTACTTGGAGGTTAGGGTTTAGGGTTTAGGGTTTGGGGTTTGGGGTTTAGGGTTTAGGGTCATGGGTATTTGGAAGTGGGGTTATACATAGAAATAAGACGGCTGTGATTGGCTGGAGGATGATCTGAGGGCGCTTGGAACCGAGCTTAAAAGCCCTAGCAGCCCTAACAACCCCTAAAACCTAAGCAAACGCCCAAGGCCCCAATAGCCCCAGACGTAGACCAAAAAGGAACCCCACTGTCCTTAACTTACCCACCGGCCCCCCTTCACCTCTTGCCATCCACTACATGTATCTATACACATAAACTTTTTTATGTTTACATATGTGTATTGTGCATATATATATATATATGTATGTATGTATGTATGTATGTATGTATTATGTATATATAACTTTGTCCATCATCAGTTTCAAAAACCCGAGGCCGTTCACCGCATCCCCGCCTGCAGTTTGCTTTTGCCTCCCTCAGCCCTACAAGCCTTACCCTAACTAAACCCTAAACCCTAAACCCTAAACCCTAAACCCTAAACCCTAAACCCTAAACCCTACAAGCCAAACACACCGAAAGCACACCGACCTTGACCTGAACAGACTGGGCCCCAGCTGCACCTGAGCCATTCAGCGCCGTCCGGCCCTTCTTCCGGGGCCGGTCCTAGGGAGTGGAGGGTTTAGGGTCTAGGGTTAGGGTTTAGGGTTTAGGGTTAGGGTCTAGGGTTTAGGGTTTAGGGTTTAGGGTTTAGGGTTTCGGGTTTCGGGTTTAGGGTTTAGGGTTTAGGGTTTAGGGTTTAGGGTTTAGGGTTTAGGGTTTAGGGTTTAGGGTTTAGGGTTTAGGGTTTAGGGTTTAGGGTTTAGATTTAGGGTTTAGGGTTTCGGGTTTAGGAACTTGGGGCACCTGAGGGCGAATACGTTCAGGGTTCAGCTGGTTTAGGGCTCAGGGCCTGACTTGTCCTTGCAATTTCGTGCTTAGGGGATGAAGAGTGCGCGATGATGCTCGCCTGGTGGGGTTTAGGGTTTAGGGTTTAGGGGGGTTCTGTAGCTGAGAAGAAGCCACCAGCACTGGAAAAGAAGCCGGCGCGACGCCAGAGATGGGATGAAAAGCCCCGAGCACCCTCAACACCGCAAGCAGTCGCCGTCAACAGAGGCATCAAGAACGAATCCAGTTTAGAGCTGTTTAGGGTTTCGGGTTTAGGGTTCAGGGTTTAGGGTTTACAGCGACCATCCAATCAGCCGACCGACCAGTTGACAAACAGCCAAGTCAGAAAAATCTCTGACATCTAAACGGAACTGCAACACAGGATTCTTACACCCTCCTCTGTCTTCCCTCTTCCCTCTTCCCGAAACCCTAGGCCCTCAAAGCCTAAACCCCTTCCAAAAGACCCTGTGGCTGGGAACCGGGCTTCTTCTGGGCTGCTCCAAACATTTACTACCGGCCGCCAGCCTGAGCCATTTTTGACCAGGAAGGGTTTAGGATTTAGGGTTTTGGGTTTCGGGTTTAGGGACAAGAAGGGTTTAGGATTTAGGGTTTTGGGTTTCGGGTTTAGGGAGCCCGAAGACCATAATGGTGTTGCTCGCCTGCGAACTCTACAGAAGAGGCCCTGTGATTTGCACAACCTACCAGAACAAGGAACCCCAATGGCCCCAAGGTTTTGGTCTTTCGACCCCCTGAACCCTAAACCCTTTGGGCTTGGGCTTAGAGTTTTGCCCTCAACCCTTAACTCTGTGATGTTCGGGCGTTGCGGGTTTTCATGCAAAGGGCTGGATGACGCTTCGCCATGGCTGTTAGAAAGCAGACTCCCAACACAACACGATCAGCCAGGTGCACCAGTGAAACCCAGAACCCTAAACCATAAGAACCCCAATCCCAACGAATTTTCAGGAAATGACCGACTCCCTGTAGCAAAAAGACCAACTCCCTAAACCCCGATGACCTCTTGGGCACCACCTTTGGTAGCCCAGTAACCATATTATCCTAAGGGCACCCCTTTTTGGGGTTGGTTATTTTATAAGAGAACCCAGAACCAAAAAAAGAGGGTAAAGGTTACCACTGGGCTACCAAGCCACACTGCCAGACTGTCGTGGGGGAGATTCTGGAAGATGGGGCGTGGGGCCGTTTAGGGCTTAGCCGGCGGAGATCGCAGTACCAGGGCTTTGGACACCCTAAACCCTAAACCCTTAACCCGATAGGGTTTATAAACCCTAAACCCCCGTCGCTCCAGGAATTTAGGTCAGGTCCGGGTGAGAGGGAAGCCCTGGATGCGCTCGCGCAAGACTACAGCCAGTTGGGTTTAGGGTTTTTAGGGTTTAGGGTTTAGTGTTCAGGGTTTATGGCTTAATGGATTTACAGGGTTTCGGGTTAGGCTGCTGCCAGCTTCAGGGTCCGAAGTACGTATAACCCACCTGTAAGTGCCCCTGAGCCAGAAGGGGACGTAGGTACCCATACCACAGCACAACAGAAAGATCAGTGAAAGATCATCTTACACGCAGATGGTCCCCGAAATCGGGGTAGCCTACTCTCTGTTTTTGTGGGGAGGGGGTGGGGGGGAGAAGTTCAGAGAACAAGGACGACAATGTCGTGGGGCGGCACCGTGGAGCTATGTTTCGGGCCCGCTACCCCGAAAAAAACGGCCTAGCTCTTCGAAGATGCCGTCGTCTGCGGTTTCGATTGCCTGCGAGATGCTGAGCCAAAGATCTGTGAGATGCCAGGGAAGAGGAGTCTCTTTGGGTTTAGGGTTTAGGGTTTAGGGTTTAGGGCAAGTTTAGGGTTTACAGGGTTTAGGGTTTGGTTTGGGGTTTTGTTTGGGGTTTGGCGTTTCGGTTTTTCAAGTCAACCTTTTGGCCACCAACTTCGCCTAGCCTTCCCTGAGATCTACTCTCTATGGCTTGGTAACCCTCGGGCTTTTGGGTGCACTTCTCCTGAATCTCAAAAGCTCGTGGCACCCAGTTCTGACCGTTTCTCGGCCCTAGTTAAGCCCTGCCATCTACACTGCAGTGAGGCTAACCCTCAACCCTCAACCCTCAACCCCCAAACCTCAACCGTAAACCCGAAAACCCGAAAACCCGAAAACCCGAAAACCCGAAAACCCGAAAACCCGAAAATCCGAAAACCCTAAAACCCTAAAACCCTAAAACCCTAAAACCCTAAAACCCTAAAACCCTAAAACCCTAAAACCCTAAAACCCTAAAACCCTTAACCATGCCGTGGAGTTCGGCGAGCCCACCGGCCCACAGCACCAACCTGTCAACTCCCCGTGACCCCAGGATCTCTAGACCCCATGTGCATTTTTTTATGTATATATATATATATATACAGTTATAGAATCATATACTATGAGGCATATGCAAAAATAAATAGATAATACTTAAATACATAGATGCAATAAATACATCTATAGTTAATTATTTCTGGATGTATGTAATACTAGATGTTAAAAAACACTGGCCCGAAGCCCTACATCACAAAGATAGACCTCCCACATCCTGTCCAACCACAGAGCCCGTATATAGGAGCTACAAGGTTTAGGGTCTAGAAGGTTTGTACTGCTTCTATGAAGGTATACGGGTTGGTTACAGGGTTTACAGGGTTTGTAGGGATTATAGGGTTATCTATTGGGTTGGTTACTTTACAAGGGAGCCTGGAACCAAAAATAGAAAGCTAAATCCTAAACCCTAAACCCTAAACCCCTAAACCCCTAAACCCCTAAACCCCTAACCCCTAAACCCTAAACCCTAAACCCTAAACCCTAAACCCTAAAAAGTGAAAGAATCAGTGCGACTCCTAAGGCCAGCGCCACTCTGAGACCCTGTAGTCGATTCTCGCTGCAGGCCTGGGCGCTTGCGGAGTCCTCTTGGTAGCCTAGTAGCCATATTGTGACAAGGGTTTAGGGTTTAGGGTTCAGGGTTTAGGGTTTAGGGTGCCCTGTTATAAGGGAACCTGGACACAAAAAAAAAGGAAATGCCACTGGGCTACAAAGTCTGAAAAAGGTCAAGCCGGCCTTTCAGGATGGATTGCTTCCTAAATCCGGGGTGTTGGGCCAGGACTCAATGAAGTTCTGTGTGACATGGGCATCTGGGCTTCGTCCATTTGTCATTTTTCTTTCAATACGCACTTGCAGATGCCCTAAAACAAGTATAAGGCAACGTACATATTCGAAGCTGTAGTTTGCAAATTATGGTCTTGGGTTTCGGGGTTAAGGGTTTAGGCCCCAAGCCCTGAACCCCTTTTGCAGCTAGCCTCGCGGCAGCCCTTTGAAACTCTGGCAGAAAGTGGATAAGGGACCTACTAGAGTCACTAGAGTCCCCGAAGAGTAGAACTCCCTTACAATAAGGACCCCAATAGTAATTAATATTTCATAAGGTACCCCTCATTTCGGAAACCCTCAAGTGTCTTTTCAAAGGGTCTTGCGAAACTTACGATTTTGCTTAAGATTCCTTGTAGGGAGCATTATCTTGTTTTTTTTGCGGGGGGGGGGGGGGGGGTGGGCGGTTCTTTGAGCAACCCGTCCCAATGACCAAACCCAGCTTCTCGCCTTGTGCCCGCGCGCGACGAGCTCCTTTCGGATGCTGCGCTGGTTGTCGCCAGGCCTGCAATATCTGGGGGTTTTTCCCCCCCAACAAAGGGGCACCCTTCTTTGGGGCTCCTTTTGTATCCCCCGTCGTGGAGCACTGGGCTCCGAGCTCTACTGCCAGCTGCAGGACGTGCCCGAAGACCTGATCTGATCGAATCGCCACGGGGAGTTTAGGAACGTCGATCAGGCCTCGGATGACTTTAACTGGAAGAAGCTCGTATGCTCGATTCGGGTGCTTCTTCATCCCTCTACCATTCCCCCGGCCCCAAGGTCTGCTCCAAGCCTTTGCGAGGCCCCAAAGCGCAGAACTTAGAATGCAAGGGCTCTTCCACATTCTAAGGTTTTAGGCACCTCGGACTCAAGTTAAGCTGGCAACCCTCTGCCCGAATCCCTATTTTTGGAGCAACGGACTGTGGAGCCTGCCGGCATGCGGCAAACATGCAACTTTAACTTCTCAGAAGTCACATCATCCAAACGGTTCTATGCACCCATATCACCATGAGCAAGCACACGTGAATCAAGGAAAGACATCTGCGAAGACGTCAACATATCGAAGAGTAGAATGCGCTGAGCCTGCTGCCACAGTCGACTCGCTAAGCCCTAAACCCTAAACCCTAAACCCTAGAAGGACCCTACAGTGCCCTACAGCCCCAGCCCTCGGATTGTCTTCGAGGCTGTCACGCCATCCGAGCCGCAGAGAAGCACGCCCACAGCACGGCCGCCTGAATTCTGAGAGGGTTCGGGCTTCAGCCTTGCTTGGGTCAAGTCAAACTTATAACCTGACTTAGAAGCACCCGTGAAACTCCCAGTACGCCTGAACCTCCCGCTGTTCCAGGCACCCCCGCCGCTCTGCGCCACCCAACAGAGGCCCCGCCCGGGACCATCGAGGTGGGTCTGGCATGGCACAGAGGTTTTGCTGTGGGGCTTTTGTGAAATTTAAAGGCCAAGTAGACCCAAGAGTTATTTGGGAATAAGGAGGGTACCCCTTTTGGGGATTTCTAGAGGGCTAGAGGGAACGAGGGCCTGTTTTTCACAAGGGACTGGACTGAGCGCATACCTGGGTAAAATAATTATAGTGTAAGTCCCAAAAGGAAGACCTACATTTACGTCGAAGTTGAGTGTGAGGGCTTGCAGGGGTAGCCGAAGGCGAAACGTAGCCCTCAACAATTCTACCTACACTCGTTTACCCCCAAAGCCTGAATTAAACCCTCAACCCTAAACCCCGCCCTGAATCGCATTTTTGAAGTCCCCCCGCCCCCCAGATCCGTGGCCCGAAGCGCCTGCACCTCCTCCTCGGAGCCAAAGATCAGCTCGGACCCGACCAAGGCGCACAGGGCCTCGGCCTGCGAGCTCAGAGGGGCTGTAGAGGTTTGGGTTGGGGAGTTGGGAAGGGGGGGGGGGGGGTGTTTAGGGTTTAGGGTTTAGGGTTTAGGGCCCTCAAAACCCTCTGAACAACACATTCTTGAATGTGATCCTCTTGAACACAGCACGGGAAAATCTGAAATATCCCAAGGGCCTACCCAGTAGGGACTTTATGTAGGGTTTTGGGTAGGGAGCGCTCATGGATTTCAAGCTTAAGGCAAGTTTAGGGTTTCGGGTTTTGGGGTACGGAGTTCTAACGGGGCAACTAAGTACAACGAAAGGGGGTGGGGGTGGGATAACCATACTTAGCTACAATTACCTGCTGTCGTACCAGCTTTATCACTGGGGATGGAACCTTCATTCAAGGCGGCTTGGGGTGGGAGGGGTTTTCAAGTAGTTCTCCCGCAATGCCACCTCCTGGGTTCGGGGGGGCGGGGCGGTGGTGTGGTTGCGGTCCTTCTTTGGGGTAGCGACATGGTGCCTTAATATGGCCCCTCGTAAATTGGCGAACCCTTATATACCCTTCGAAAACAAACGGCCTTTTCATCTTAGAACCCCTCTGCAAGGCCTAATTTAGAATCCCCCCCCCCCCCCAATCTGCAGCCCGGATTCCCCAAGGCTGCCTGGTTCGTATCTGCAGCGGTGAGTGGCCTCAGCTTCTCGCCCTGAGCAGGCGGGTAGCCTCCACAGAGAAGGAAATGTCTCCCGGTTTGAGAAGGTTTTTGGGGGGCTTGAGGGCTTAGTTAGGGTGCGTTCGGGTGCTGTATGGGGTGCACGCACGTGCAAGTTGAATGTCTAGGGTTGCCAGGGCGTGTGTGTGTGTGTGTGTGTGTGTGTGTGTGTGTGTGTGTGTGTGTGTGTGTGTGTGTGTGTTTGTTTTCTCTGCTCTTCGGGGACCGAGTATGTTAAAGGCTCACATTTGGGGGCGGAGGGTCGTGGGAAAGGGTTGATTAACTCCAAGTTTTGGTGAACCACTAGGTTGCCTCAAGCAGTCCGCAATCATGGGCTGGGTCCAGTGCCAGAATCAAGAACACTGCAAAGTCGCAGCCCCTCTAAAGCCGGCCAAACCCTTTGAAGCTAGTCGGGGCTTCATGCTGTTATAAGCGTGAGAATGCTCTACTCACCCACTCTGCATCGTCGGCCCTCACCCGCGCACCTTCATCAGCTTTACTCGCCGCGGGCATGGGCTGGGAAGACGAGGACGACGCAGACACGGCCGGCGCGGCCGGCGCGGCCGGCGCAGCCGCAGCCGGTGCAGCCTGTCTGTGGGGGCTTGAGGCTTTTGAGTCGAACAACTCTCGGTGTGCTGCAAGCCATCAAGGTCACAAGGTTTATGGGATGCTCAAGACCGACAAGTTCTTTCAGCTCCAGAGACGCGCGAAGAGTTTAGGGCCAAAAGAAGCCACAAGGTGCTCGCAGCCTGCATCCCAAGCCTCCGCCTTTCGTTTTGGGGCTTAGCACCCTCAGGTGCATCATATTACTACATATTGCTACTAAGAAACACACTGTGCAGATGTGGGTTTCGCAAACAATGTGTCGGATTTGGGTTTAGCAAACCACACTCTATACTCAGGCACCTTTGCTGAACCACTTGGCCGAGAAATCGCCCGAGGGACTCTGCAGATCCCTAAACCCCAAACCCCAAACCCCAAACCCTAAACCCTAAATCTCTGCAGGATACGGGGTGGGGATTCAGTGGGGATATCGGATATCATAATACCAACAAAAGCTTGCTGTTGCAGAATCGGGCCTTGGATGGCGGCTCCTCCTCGTCGATAATCTCTTCAATGATCGGGCCCTGACCGAAGGTCTTTTGAAATCTCTTCCCGGCGCCCATTGAACTAGAATGCGTGTTCTGCCGAGCGTACATTATACTTGTACATACATATACATATATATGTATATATGAAGGATTCTCTAGATTCTGGGCCTGTTGGGGCACCCGAGATATCAGGCTCTGTGTGATAGCTAATGGGAGCCCAGAAAAGGGCGACCCTGATTTAGGGACTAGGAGGGTGGGGGTAGATAATGTTAGAAAGTATTTAGGCTCGTGCATGAGTTCAATACTCTGGCTCCCAAACCTTCTGTCACCCCACATGTTGTTGAGAGGGCTGCTAAGTTGCTATGGCAAATCTCCCCCAAACGGGTCGAAGGGGTGCCCCCCGTTCCTTCCCAAACCTCCTCAATACTCAACCCTCGACGCTGGAGCCACAGGACCATCTGCTTCCAGGCTATTCCCAGATCTATACCCTAAACCCTAAACCCTAAACCCTAAACCCTAAGCCCTAAACCCTAGATCTCGGATCGATATGCCATCCTGTGAGCGCCACCGTGCAAGCCCAAGGAGTCGTAACAGCTGTCCCTTCCCAAGGCCAACCGGCCCCAAGGCAGCCCAGTAGACCGGCCCATCATAAGGGTTTAGGGTTTAGGGTTTAGGGTTTAGGGTTTAGGGGCCACCCTTTTGGGGTTGACTACTACCACTGGGCGAATCTACGCGTCAGAGTATTTACAAATAGTATTCCGTTCTGGTCCTAATAACCCCTCCAAAACCCTGCTTATTGAGGCCCGATTGTCTTAGCAAGACCCCGCAGCATACTTTGAGAGCACAAGACCCAACCTCACACTCAAGCAAACCATCGTCGCATGATCTGGGCGCCATCCATTTAGGGTTTAGGGTTTAAGGTTTAGGGCTTTAGGCTTTAGGGTTTAGTTTTTTGTTAATGTTTGGGGTGGAACAAATGAGGGTTTCCCAATCTAGGGGTACTCTTGCCGGGCTCCGATTAAAGAAGGCACCAGTCTGGCACCCGGAGATTTTTGGGTTTTAGGGTTTAGGGTTGCTTTCTCTCTCTCGGTTGCTTTGGGGTTCCTATTTGGGGATGTTCCCCCCTTATACTAACAGTCCTTAAGAGGGATTCTAGTACCCCTATGCTGATCCGCAGTTAGTATAAAGGGGGGACCATCCCAAGTTCCTATGATCATATGGAACATTATGGAGCCATGGAGACCTATACTTAGGGGCTCAGGGTTTAGGGGTCAGCACGCCCCAAGAGGGACCATCAGAGAGAGAGCTGCCCACCTGATATGGAGCGGCGGCACTCGCAGAGCCTGGTTTCGGGTTTAGTGGGGTTTAGGATTTAGGGTTAGGGTTCAGGGTTTAGGGTTTAGGGTTCAGGGTTTAGGGCTTGCATTCTAGGGTACTTTAAGAGGTGGATCGGGATGGCACTCAAAGGGCGCCAGAACTCAGAGCCCCAGCCTGAAGAACTGCTGGCGCCCGCTTCGGGAAGCGCAAAGTTCATAGGGCTGTCCTCGTGGTCTCTCTCTCCAAGCTCTCCTTTGCTCTCCAAGCACTTGTAAGAGAGGTTTAGGGTTTGGGGTTTAGTGTCAGGGTTTTGGGGGGGGAGGGAGGGGGGCGGGGGGCAGTCACGATCTCAAGTCAAAGAGTAGGCTCGCAAGCCTTTACGCTTCAGGGTGTCTCAGGTGATGGAGACGTGAACAGCATGCAAACCTGATGGGCGTCCTGGGTGCCTTGGAGGTTGCGCTCGCAGAAGGCCTTCATGGCCTGCACGAACCAGGCTTCAACTGTCAACTTCTGCCTATGGCGCCCTTGATTGGCGGAGAGGCCACTCTCTGTTGCAAGGCTCCCCCTAAACCTGGCACTACAGAACACATGGCCCGGAACCCGAAACACAGAAGTGATAGCCCACTTATAGTAGCAGCTTACTCACAGGCTCCTATGTAGTGCCTTTTTGGAGTAGCAGACTAGAGCCAACCGAAAAAAAGGAACTACATTGGAGCCTTCAGGTAGCAAGGGCCACAAAACCCAAAACCGTGGGGGCTCTTGTCATTCTTTCCCGGAGGAACCTCGCAGGTCTCCAGCAGGGAGGTGCAGTCCGTGCTCCTCAGGATATTGAGAAAAAAACGAGTTATAGAGCCTAGGAGATGATTGTCATGTGCGCTTCCACCGAATGGAAGTACCCGGACATTGCCGCATTGCAGCTTGTGGTTTTGTTGTACTAGGGAATTAAGGCACGCCACAAACCCGAAAGGCACAGTCAACAGACTCGTTGACTCATTTTGGAGGCGTTACAGTGCTGACCACAAGTCGCAATGTGAGCGCCTTGCGTTCGGATACCTGAAAGGAAAGCAGCCTTGTGATGGAACACCAAATTGTGCGACATGCAGGTCGGGCCAAAGAACAGCAGCGGACATGGAGATGCTTGCAACTCCATTGCGGCTATTTCTAGTTTCTTATACTCCCCTTAGAACCTTACTAAACATAATATTTGAATATCCTCTTGGGCTTTATATAAACAAAAATAGAAATAATTCCCAAGGGGGATACAGTTTCGAGGCCTGTCTGCCACAAGCCTTCGGCCAATCTACAGTGGAGGCACTGCTTGAAGGAAACGGCAAGAGCGGCGCACGCTCAGCGCCAAACTCAAGTTACAATCCCCATCGTATTATGCCGGCTAAACAGCACAGCAACGTCTTCGCAACTGACTGTCCCCAAGCGCCCCCTGACAAGTGTTTGCAGATTTTCCAGCTGGTCCCAGTAAGTGACATTAAACCCTAAACCCCGGGAAACTGCGAGGGTCGCCTTTGCAAAGTTCAAAAGATTATGTGCCTAAGGTTCGGTGTTGAAAGCTTCTTCTACAGTTCAGGAATGTTCAGGAGGACAATGTTCACTCTACGCCGTGCCTCCTGAACCTCATAATTATCTCTATTCCAGGGTGCGGACGTCTCTTTCTTCAAAAGCGGGATGGCCTCATCAAAGAGGTCCTGTCCAGTAGGCACGTCAAGTGATGACATCGACTTCAGATTTGCAGAACTGAACTCTAACCCTACTCGATAAATACGACGACCGATATGAAACTCCTCCAAATGCTGTGTAAACGCAACGTTGTGCATCGTTCTGACTCCCTGAGCCCACCGCCCTGGACCATTCACATCTGGCTTGTCCCTGACACGACAAAGTGGTAAGAGAGTACCCTAAACCCTAAACTACAGGTGCAAGGACCTCTCGGGGCCATCCCAAAACACTGAGACTCCACCGTACAATCTGACGGCCCTTTGTAACGCATGGGCTGAGCGCAGCGCCGGCTTTTTTTTGACACTGCTTGCTACATGTCGTAAGCAACTGTGCCATCCCTTTGCCTGCAAGGACTGTCTCCCAAATCCTAGCGACCCTGAATCCGAAACTCTGAAGGTTCGGGTGTTTCGTGCAGTCAACGGCTTCAAGCCTGGCATCTTACAGTCGAACTCCGATGCTTTCAAGGGCCCGGTTTTTTCCCAGGCCGAGGCCTCAAGGCCGTGGTAGCCCAGTAAACATCTTACAATAAGGGTACCCTCCTTTCTTCTTTGTGTTTTTTTTTTTCTTTTTTTTTTTTGGGGGGGGGGTGGGTGGGTGTTACTTTAGAAGGGAACCTTGAACCCAAACAAAAAAGAGAAAAAAGGGTAGCACTTGGGAGGTCCCCCCTGGTACTGACAGTCCTTCATAGGGATTATCATATTGAGGACTGCTCAGGGTACCACTGAGCCCTAAACCCTAAACCCTAAACCCTAAACCCTAAACCCCAAACCCCAAACCCCAAACCCCAAACCCTAAACCCTAAACCCTAAAGGGGGTAACATCCCAAGGTACCACAGGGCGACCGAGGGGTTCAGGCGGCACCCGGAGCATGCCGTGCCTTCGCCTCCTGGTACCGCCCACCCCAGGACTTCAGCTCCGCCGCAGCCTTTAGGGTTTAGGGTTTAGGGTTTAGGGTTTGGGGTTTAGGGTTTAGGGTTTAGGGTTTGGGGTTTGGGGTTTGGGGGTTTAGGGTTTTGGGGTTTAAGGGTTTAAGGGTTTCACATTTTTTTGGGATTTAGGGGTGTAGGGGTTTAGGGAAATCGAATCAATCCTCGAGCGGTGGAGACTGGAGGGTGGCAAGTGTTTTGGCAAGGTTTGGTTGCCACCAGCCTCGCCGCCCTATGGTTTAGGGTTAGGGGTGAGGGTTTAGGGTTTAGGGTTAGGGTTTAGAGTTTAGGGTTTAGGGTTTAGGCCCATATTTTTGACAGCTCCGACTCTCCACTGACACACTGTAGCCGTGCAGACAAGGCGTCCAGAACTTGTGGTGTGCTGTCAAGGCCCTTCTACAAATCTGCAGCCCGCATGAGCCCAAAAACAAATGGCACAAATACTGCGCCTAGCAGCTCACAGCCTAAATGGGCCGGCCTAGAGTAGCCTTATACCTTGAAGAAGGGTTAACTGTAACCAAGGAGTATGGCACCTGTCTCATTCCAAAGCGTAGAAAAGTTACTTGATGGAAGCCCTTTTCAGCAGGCTTCTGCTTTCTACACCCTGAACTGCACCCCCCCCCAACCAACCTGGCTACCCAAACCTGGCTACTGCTGGGAGTCGCTTACAGGCTTACAAGACAAATGAAGATGGGCAAGCGGAACCAACCGGTCATATGGGGTCTCTGCCTTGTAATAGACCGCTGCGTTGCCGTCCTGCTCTTTGGCGCCCCGAAAACCCTAAACCCTACACCCTAAACCACCATAAGGGGCACCGTAAGCATGCGCACCTCTCATACTCATAATCAGGGATCTCCTATTGCTATGCTTCTGGGGCGGGATGCCGCGCTTCTTCAATGTCATGCATGTGCGCCAGCAAACAGGAAGCACTGATGTAAGCCCTAAACCCTAAACCCCTGTTTGTGGTTTAGTGTTTAGGGTGAGGACAAGAGTCTGGATTCAGAACAAAAGGTTCAAGGGTATGGTTCCTGAATTCACTTATGTGGGCATCTTTCTCCTGCTCTTGTGGTGATCACGTTTATTCCGCTTCTTCTGCTGTGTGGCTCTCCTTATGATGGTTTCTCTGCGCATGTTTATATGGATGTGTCGGTGTGCATATGTAGACGTAAATTAGTCCAAGTAGAAACTTGGGTGCCCCGACTCCTGAAATGTGAAGGGGCAGGCTGTTGTCAACCCTTCTCCAAGAGGCGCGGACCCTAAAGCATCGGCCCTGAAAGGTGCGGGGTTTAGAGTTTGGGGTTTACACAACACCCCACACCCTAGACCCTCGCGCCGAAGCCCAAAACGCTGCCTACACCTGCACTCGCCGAAAGACCGGGCTCCTGTGGAAGGTCCTTGCGCACCCTCTTCACCAACTGCGAGCCGACGGGGCGGCTTAGGGTGTTCGAATTAGGGCTGCAAGGGTCGGGCCTAAAGCCGACGAGCTCATGGCTGAGGATGGGTTTAGAAGGGTTCAGGCTTTAGGGTTTAGGGTTTAGGTTTTAGGGTTTAAGATCTGGTTGAACCCGGGTTTAGGGGTTCAGGGCCTAGGAGGCCTTAGGGCTCAGGTTTTGGTAGTTCTCTTGTCTCGGGGAATGGCTTATGTAGATGTAAACAGACAAACATCAATTTGAAAAAGTACAGATGTGTGTGTATATACATAGATGTGTGTGTGCGCGCAAAAATGCAGATTTAAGGAACAAAACCGTATGGTCAGTTCTCCAAATTCTGGTTCCCTTTTTGGGGTACCCGAAATACTAGGGCCCGCCTTACAATGGCAACCCCAAAAAGGGGCCCTGATTTCGAGACTCCCCCATACATGTATGTATGTATAGGGTTTAGGGTTTAGGGTTTAGGGTTTAGGGTTTAGGGTTTAGGGTTTAGGGTTTAGGGTTTAGGGTTTAGGGTTTAGTGTGCAAAGGGCGTGATCTTGGACATTCGGCTCCTGCAACTACGATTGTGTTTGGGCACCACCTCGCCGGGCAGACTCCACGTCCCTCACTCTCGCGCACGGCAGGGTTTAGGGTTTAGGGTTTAGAGTTTAGGGTGTGTCAGGGGAGGGCGCGCGCTCGGGTGTGAAACACCCCGGGCCGCGCGCTCGCGTTGCCCGTCAACCCACCCCGGCCACCCAAACTATACTCTATTAGGGTTTAGGGTTTATGGAATTTATTTTCTTGTGCTCTGATGCTTGCTTTGATGTTTTTAAAGTTGCGCTGTTAGGGTTTAAGCTGGGGCTGGGGGTAGCCTCGGCCCTTTTCGGGCCTTCGGCGTATCAGGGCCCGTAGAGGCCCTTAGGGGAAACCCTTTTGTGTCTGCTCCTGGATTCCCCTTCTTTAAGGGCCTCAATTAAGCATCGATTTCACTACCAAAAAATCGCATTTTTCATTGCGGGTACGGGCATCCTGGGGTCCCCCTTCTTTTAGGGGGCCTTTTGAAGCCTTTTGAAGCATTTTGGTGGCTCTTGGGGTCTCTCGGGGCCTTGTTCGGACCTTCGGCGTGTCAGGGGCCGTAGAGGCTTTATTCATTTAAAGGTCAGGGAACCTAATGAATTTTTCGCCAATGAGTATTTCAATCGCTAGGGTTTAAGCTCGGGTTCGGGGTAGCCTCGGCCCTTTTCGGGCCTTCGGCAAGTTAGGGCCCGTAGAGGCCCTTATTTGCTTGAAGGCCTTGGGTTTTGCGGTGTTAGGGTTTAAGCTGGGGTTCGGGGTAGCCTCGGCCCTTTTCGGGCCTTCGGCACGTTAGGGCCCGTAGAGGCCCTTATTTGCTTGAAGGCCGTCGTAGGGTTTTGCGGTGTTAGGGTTTAGGTTGGGGTTCGGGGGTAGCCTCGGTCCTTTTCGGGCCTTCGGCGCGTCAGGGCCCGTAGAGGTCCTTGTTGATTTGGGGGGAGCCATCGATTTCAGTACTAAAAAAAGAACATTTTTCATTGCGGGCAGGGGTGCCTAAAAACAATGTTTTCAATATTAAAAAATCGCATTTTTCATTGTGGGCACGGACAAATCTTGTAGTCCCCCTTCTTTTAGTGGGCCTTTTGAAGCTTTTGAAGCCTCTTGGGGGCTTCCTAGGCGTGCGATTCCCTGCAAGGGCGTTGTTTTGGCGGGTGGTGGAGTTCCGGGTTTTTGGCCTGGCGGGGGGCTTGGGTCGGCCCTTGCCCGGCAAGGCCCTTGGCTGGCCCTTGGCGGCAGAGCGCTTGGCGGCAGTGCCCTTGGCCCCCCGGTTTCCTGGGCTAGTAGCCCGGCCCTCAAATCCCCCCTTGACCGGGAAGGTTGGGGCCCAGAAGGCCTGACCCGGCCTTCAGGCGCTCCAGGCCAAGGGCCCCCCCTTGGCCAAGGGCCCGAAAATGCCCCCCCCCTCCTGGCCAAGGGCCAAGTGGGCCAAGGGTGCCCAGGCCAAAAGCCTCTGGGGCCAAGGCCCCCCTGACCAAGGCCCTTGGCCCGGGAGGCCCTTGGTCTGGGGGCCCTTGGGGGGCCCTTGACCCAGAAAGCCCTTGACCGGGAAGGCTCGGGCAGCTACCAGGGACCAGGGGGCCCCCGGGGGGGGGGGGGGGCGACAAACCCTGAACCCAAAACCCTGAACCGACCTCCAAGGCAAAGGGTTACGATTTGGGGTTATACTTTAACTACGCTAAAGGTGGTCTGGGTGCCGGCCATCCCTTAGCCGAGTACTGACGTTGTCGTAAAAAAGGCCGATGTCCGTTGGCCTGTCCAGGACAGACGGTGAGGCTTAACCCTCACCTTTCCGTTTCTCTTTTCGCTTGGGCGCTCGGGCTGTAAGGCCCTCGGCCGAGCGTTCGGGGTCTGTCGCTCGACGGAAGCGACCCCTCACTTAGTTTAGGGTTTAGGGTTTAGGGTTTAGGGTTTAGGGCAACTACCTTAAACGAGTCTCGCATCGTCTCGGCCCCGAGACGGCTGAATGATCCATTTACGTGACTTTTGTGGTGGATTGATCCAAGCCATGAGCCCTGATTGAGTCTCTGCGAGAAGCAATCATGATTCTACCCCTGGTAGATGAGGAAATCCCCCAACTCTAAACCCTAAGCCCCAAACCCTAAACCCTATATCCTCGGTTTTGCATCAGCACCCCGAGTGTGGGCGAATCACTCTTTCAAATCCCTGTTGGCCCTCAAACACCACCTTCTCCGCCGAGCTCCCTCCTACCCGGGAACTGGAGGCGCAGGGTACTAAAAAAGCCCAAGTGGGGGTTTACGAAAATTAGGGGATCCTAAAAGTAGACCCCCAAATAGTAGGACTCCAAAAAGTAAGGACCCCAAGAAGGTACCCTCATTTCGGAATCCATCAAGTGTAGCTGTACTTATGAGCTATGAGCCCCCAAAGTCCTTTGAGTAGGTTACAAGTACATTTAACCCTAAACCCTAACCCCTAACCCCTAAACCCTAAACCATGAACCTCCAAGTACCATGAGAAGAGGGTCAGTGCAAAGGTCCGCCCTCATCGTCGCTGCATGGTCCCTACCGGGCTCCCCGGCGTAGTCCACCGTCTTAAAGTAATTGGCAAACCTCGGCCGTATAAGCAGCGACAGGCTTCCGCTATACAGCACAAAAAACTACCAGCAACTCCGCGACTCTCCATGTTCAAGACGACATGCACCCCACGCAGAAATGGAGGTGTACGAAAACAGGGACCCCCCAACTTTTTTTGAAACCCGACTTACCCAACATAGATCCCCAAATAGTAGCCATCCCAACATAGAATCCCCAAATAGTAGGATGCCCTTCTAATAAGAACCCCAATAAGGTACCCCGAGTTTAGGAAAGCCCAACTCTGCAAGCAAGAGATGGGAAGCCGCGGAAGCCTTCCAAAAGGGGGCCCCGGCTTTGTGCGCTCGATGTTCGTCGTCTCTTTCAGGTGCCTCAGCTCTCTGCCACACGGAGAGCTCTCACTTGACAAAGGAGGAAGTACTTTGGGTTCATATGTGGTGGCACGTGACATGCAGATGTGCGTATACACCTTTTGAAGCCCAGTCTCAGCCCTAGCCAACATGCCTTTTAGACCCCCTTGTCGCGGCAGGTGTTGCATTTACCCACCCCAATGTCACTGGCCTGACGGGACCTAGGCCCTTGTGTCGACATCCTCAGCACTGCAACCTCAACCATCAACAACAAAGGTTTCTGCAGGGGATACGATTAGGGAGACCCTTGGGGATGTAGATATAGACCCTCTGAATCAGGTCCCTGTTTAAGGGAGCCAGAAGATGGTTAAGAAGGGTTCACGTTTAAGGGTCCCCCTTATCCTACCTAGGTTTCTGGGGCCAACAGGATTGCAGTCAGCTGTGCCGGGTCTGCGCATTGGTTTGTTTGTTATTTGTCAAAAGGGTTTAGCCTGACTACCTCCTCCGAAAAATCATGACATGTCAGGTCAGGGGGAGGGTGGAGGGTTCCGCAGATAAGCCATGGGCGTGTCCATCAAGAGGTTGTGGATCTGGGCACGAGGAGTCGAAGGAGCTCTCCCTCTGGTAAGACAATGCCTCTAAACTAGACCCAAGAGCCTCTGGACCCTGGACAAATGGTACCCTTTGTGGTTCATAATGGGGGCTTACAATTAGGGAGCCTAAACCCTAACACAAAAAATAAAAATGAGGGCCTCGCTCCGGGTGCTAGTAAGTAGAGGGGTTGCAGGGGCCCAGGAGGGGAAGGGTTTTGGAATTCTGCTCCTGAAGCATGGTAAGCCCCCTAAACCCTAAACCCTAAACCCTTTTTGCTTCAGGGCTCCTGTGGTAGCCCTAAACCCTAAACCCTAAACCCTAAACCCTAAACCCTAAACCCTAAACCCTAAACCCTAAACCCTAAACCCTAAACCCTAAACCCTAAACCCTAAACCCTAAACCCTAAACCCTAAACCCTTTCCGAGAGACTCCCTAAATCCTAAACCCTAAACCCTAAACCCTAAACCCTAAACCCTACCTCTATGGTTGTACCTTGAACCCTTATGGTTGTACCCTTGGGCTTTGGGGGGGCTTGTTACAGAATCGTTAAGGTGGTCTAAGGGCCGTATATTAGGAGCATCTTAAGGGGAACCTTAGGGGGTACAACCTAGGAGCATCTTAAGGGGAACCTTAAGGGGTACAACCTAGGACCTAGGAACATATTAAGGGGAACCTTATAAGGGGTACAACACACTCCATGGAAAATCAACACGAGACAGCTGTACTAAGCCCACGGGGCCAGATGAGGCAACTCATGTCCTTTACTTCCAGCGTTGCGGGGGGGGGGGGGGGGGGTTAGGTTTTAGGGTTTAGGGTTTAGGGTTTAGGGTTTACGGTTTTAGGGTTTCGGGTTTCGGGTTTAGGGTTCCAAGTGACCTATGCCTGGCGTGACCAGCTTACCCTATCGTGTTGGAAAAAGACGTCTATGTTCATACTCGCAGGCAAAAGCAGCGCCGTGGGCCTTGAGCACTACAAACAACAAATTTTTCCGAGCGGGGCGATGCTGGTGCGCTCGCGAGCGCATGTGAGTGAGGAGGCCTGCGAGTATGTGACCCCTGACTCCGCCAACCCTAAACCCTAAATCCCAAACCCCCCGGAGCAAGAGCCCATACGGCCTCCAGAAGGGTCACAAGGTCCCAGGCATCCTGGGGGGCTCCAGGGTTTAGGGTTTAGGGTCCTGAAAGGCGCAGATGGGTCCCAAAGCCGTGTATAAGCTCATCAGCATTTCGCGGGGAACAATTTTGTTTAGCCCTTGCTGCTATCTAGCCACGAGTTCACATAGCACACCTCTCCCTCTCCCCCTGACAGAACACAAAGGCTATGTGTCAAGGGGTACCGTCGCTCGTAACTCGGAGCGATTGAATGTTCTGCCGCCCGGCTAGGTACTGTAGACCAAAGTCTTTAGTTTAAGGACTTCGGAATTTCGGGGCTTGGGCGGGCTGAAGGGAAGGACAACAGCGAAATGCAGCAACCCTCAACCCTAAACCCTTTTTGCTCCAGGGCTCTCCCTAAACCCTAGACCCTAAACCCTAAACCCTAAAACCCTAAACGCCCCGCAGGGTCCTTCATGGCTTCCAGCTCGTACGCGCGGTTCAACGCCTGTCTCACAAGCGATGGGGCGCTTCAGTGCGTTTGTCCCTCCACACTCGGTTTAGGAGTGTAAAGTTTAGGGTTTAGGGATTAGGGTGCCCCCCAAAAAAGACGGATCTGGGGTCCCAGCATTTAAGTGCACCTGCACTGCTTGGGGCCTATTTGCTTGGGTACAGCTGCATCCCCTGTTGTTGCAATCCGGTCTGCGTGGACTGAGTCTCCGAGACTGGGGGACTGGTCTACAAGAGACTGCACGCTGGACAAGCTCTCGTCCAGGGTCTGACCAGACTGCAGGAATGCTCGCAGGTGCTCCACATGCTGGTGGCTGCAGTACTCCTGCAGCGTCCTCGCGTACTGCGGCACACGATCTGCAGGCTTTATGTCGGTGTCGATGATGGTCACGCGCCCCATCAGCTGCCGCGCCGCACCTACCTCCTGGTACCGCAGCAAGTGAAACGACTCCACGCGCTCCCCAGGCTGGACTCTACGCACGTTCACAATCAGCGATGCGTCTTGCATGGACCGGCCCAGCAGGAACAGCGCCAGGCCCCAATCAGCACGGAGGTCCTGAGTTCAACGTGGGGAGCATTGGGGCGGTTGAGGTCAAGAGCCTGTAGACTGGAAGACAAAACCCAAAGAAGCCAGTTTGTTCTTCCGACCTGATGGATCAGGATATTGTCTTACGAATCAAGACAAAAAGACGCAGTCCAAATATTCCGAGGGTCCTCGTAGGCCTGCCGAACCTTGACTTCTGGTTAAATGGCATGCGGCAAGATTTGGGTTCGACTGGGGCCAGGTATAACGACTTTGGAACTTCTGTCAGCTTCCAGGAGATCTCGACACCTCCCAACGTTTGGTCCAATTGTAATCCATTTTGGGTCCTCACGCCTTGTGGCTCAACCCTAAACCATAACCCTAAACCCTAAACCCTCTAAGCTTGCTAGGTGCAGCCTGAGGAACCAGCTCAACGCCCGCCTCGTCGTCCTCCCCCTCCAGGCGCTGGAGCAATGAGAAGCCACACTCAGAGCAGGCTTTGTGGAAGACCTGGTTTAGGGTTGTTCCCCCTTATACTAACAGTTCTTTATAGGGATTATAGTACTCCCCATTAGAGTCCCTATTCAGGACTCCTGGTACAATTAAGGGGGAACATCCCCAGCCGAGGGCTTTAGGGTTTGGGGTTTAGGGCTTCGACTCTCACACTCGCGCAAGGCAGGCAGGGCTTCGGTAGGTAGGGTTTAGGGTTTAGGGTTTAGGGTTTCGGGTTTAGGGTTTAGGGTTTAGGGTTTGGGGTTTGGGGTTTGGGGTTTAGGGCTTAGGGTTTAGGGTTTAGGGTATAAGGTGTAGGTTTAGGGTTTAGGGTTCAGGGTTTAGGGTTTGGGGTTTAGGGTCTAGGGCTCTAGGGTGTTTCAACGAGGACCTTGTTCAAAAAGGGTTGAGGGTTTAGTGCATTGGAAACAACAAGTCCCAGGTGATCAAGAGCATCCAATGCGCAGAAGGTGCCCTTAAACTCCTAACTCCAGCAACCCTCTTTAGGATTGGAATTGGGAGCATTGTTCACGACCATCCTGGACAAGAATACGCCAAAACAGCAAAACAGAACCCCCTCCCCCCCCTAAACCCTGAACCCTAAACCGCCAAACCCTAAACCCCAAAAAGAAGAAACAAGCCCGTGAACCCAACTCCGAACGTCCCCTTCCCAAACTCAAAAGCAAGTTCCGGGGCAACCTGCGCAACAAAACGAAAAAAAGGGGGGGGGGGGGGGGGGGGGGGCGGCTACCTCTTTTGCACCGTGAATTTGGCTTTTAGGGTTAGGGTTTAGGGTTTAGGGGTTAGGGTTTAGGGTTTAGGGTTTAAGGGTTTAGGGTTTAGGGTTTAGGGCGCGGGGAACCTACAGGGTGTCCTTATACAATCCTATTTTCTTCAGATCCCACCTCCGGGTCGATTTGCTTCGGGCAGCCAGCGTCCACATAGAGCTCCTGGGAAGACGGGACCCTGAGGTTTCGGATTTAGGGGTTGGGGTTTAGGGTTTAGGGTTTAGGGTTTAGGGTTTAGGGTTTAGGGTTTAGGGTTTAGGGTTTAGGGTTGAGGGTTTAAGACCCTAAACCCTCAAACCCCCAACCCGCAACATTTCGGCTCGGGAAGTTCGCAGCTCTTTCGCCTTCAGGGAACCTGGTTCTCGCAAAGGGGATCTGGTGATTTCTCTAAAATTTGGGGTCTCTTTTAGGGTCCTTATTCTAAGGCGGCCCCTCTTCTTATTTCGGGCATCCAAGAAGGGCCCATCATTTTGAGAACTTGCAATGTAGTATGACGAAGGACTCAAGATGCTTGGGTTCTGAGGCTTTCGGGGGCCTGAGCAGGAGCTAGTCGCACGCTAAACCCTAAGGCCCTAAACCCTAAAACCCCTCCTTCAGAGTTGAGGAAATGGGCCTCTACCTCCTGCGCCCTAAACCCTAGACCCTAAACACTAAACCCTAATTAAACCCTAAAGAACCCTAAACCCTAAACCCGAAACCCTAAACCCTAAACCCTAAACCCTTTCAAGCCAAAGTCCTGGGCTGCTTCCTCCACGGCCGCGCCCGAGGCAAGAAGCCCCAGGGCCCGGATCTTCGCGAAGGCGCCCCTGGCGTGCAGCAGAACCTGGGAGAAGGGGTTTAGGGTTTAGGGTTTAGGGTTTAGGGTTTAGGGTTTAGGGCTTCCGAAATTCGGGGTACCTTCTTGGGGTCCTTCTTATACAGGAATCTGACTATTTGGGTGTTTTTTTTTCTTAGGGGTCCTTCTTATTTTCGGAACCCCCACCTGGGAGAAAGGCTTGCAGGGCCGTTTCTGGACTCTCGGGGTTTTAAGGGACTTGTGGAGGGTTTTGGGGGGTTATGGGCTCAGTTCAGCCCTAAACCCTAAACCCTAAACCCTAAACCCTAAATGCCTGAATGCTTAAACCCTGAACCCTACACCCTAAACCCTAAATCCCTTCTAGGGACGTAGGGTTTGCCGGTTTGCCATGCCCGGGGTTCGGGATTTCATAGGCCCAGGACGGAGACATGCGAGCGGGCTGCGGGCTTTCGAATTTCCGGGGGATTCCGTGCGAATGGGCATTTGCCACAATACCCACCTTTGGAGTAGACCCTGGAAAAAAAGTATACTTTTTAGGTATAAGTAACTAGAATAGGAACCCAGAACCAAAAAAAGTATTAAAGTATAGTACTCCAAAACCCAGAATAGGTTTAGGGATAGGGTTCAATAACCTCGTGCACCTGTTCACTGCAAGCCACTGGCTAGGGTAGCTAACACAAACTAGGTCTAGGGTTTAGGGTGCCCATTACATACCCCAAAATAGGAAACCCCCAAAAGGGTACCCCTATTTTCAGAGACCCACAGACCGGGCGCCGTGAAATTTAGGGTTACAACTCCAGTGAGGGGGGGCCCTAGCTTTAGAGTTACAATGGCCTAAACTGGGTCAGAAGTACGAGAACATAGTTCCAAGCCCCATAAATATATGCTCAGAATAATAACAACGGCCGACATGACAGCAATAATCTGTCACACACCCTGAACACTAAACCCTAAACCCTCAACCCTAAACCCTACACCTCATCTTCCCTGCCTTGGGAGTAGGCCTTGGAAAAAATATATACTTTTCAGGTATAAGGAGCAATCATAGGAACCCAGAGCCAAACAACAAGTATTAAAGTATAGTACTCCAAAGCCCCGTCTTGACCGAGGCTGACTTGGCTAGTGACCCTAAACTTGAAATTTTCCCCCTTATACTTACAGTCCTTCATCGGGATTATCATGAGGGGTACTATTAATCCCCATGAAGGACTGCTAGCATAAGGGGGAACATGCCAACCCTAAACCCTAAACCCGAAGAGTGTGGACTCCACATCCATTCACATCCCCATTGCTTTTGGCCTCCTTCAGGTCGTCCAAATCCGAGTCTGCGGTGTCGCATGCGCTGCCTTATCCAGGAGGCTTAGGGCAGCATTCGGGGGATTGGGACTTCATATGTATACAGCGCCTTCTTTGGCAGGGGGTTTAGGGCGGGTTGAGGGTTGAGATGCTTGCGTCCTTCTCTATGCCCTTTCTCTCCCAGCCTTCGCAACTCGCACGAGGGCACTGACCACATAAGCACGCTGACGCCTTCTTACTGTCACGACGCCACGATGCCAAGGTTTTCGGTTAGGGTCATAGTACCTCAGGGATCATTACTTAAGATTAAGATATTTCAAAAAAAGTCCCCACATCCAAGGGTACCACCTCAGGGGTCCGAGGTAGAGTCCCCTGCAGGTGGGCTTGCAACAAATCGCCTACTGTGGAATACACCTTGGAAAGAATGACAAATATGTTTTAGGTAATAGCTAGTATTATGAGTACTAGTATTGTTATTATTAGTACTATGATCAGTATTGTATAGTACTCCAAAACCCAGGATCCGACCCCTCCACCCTTGGCGGCGGCTCAGATGCTGCCAAAGACCCGGAAGTTGTTCTGCCGCGGGTCTGCGCTGGCCCTGGCTTCCACTAGCTTAGAGTGATATCGCTTGGGGACTTCTTAAATGTATTTCCGCACTTACTTACTCATTGCTATTATGATTATTGTAATTCTTACTAATATTTTCCTAATTTTACTAATATATACATGTATATATGAATATTCTTATACCTACTACTCTTATTATTTGTATTATGATTATTATTAATATTATTATTTAGTATTATTCTTATTGTGAAAATTATGATGACTATAATTTTGAATATTATGATGATTATTCATATTATTATTATTATGAAGAAGGGTACCCCTATTTTCGGAAACCCTAAACCCTAAAATGTCAAAATTGACCCCCCCAAAACGGCCAAAAACCCTGAACAAAAAGCCCGGGTTCCTGGCAGCCCTGAACTCCTGCCTGCCACCCTTCCCCCTCGACCCCAAATCCTAAACCCTAAGCCCTAGCCCTAAGCCCGAACCCCTAAACCCTAGCCCTCAACCCTAAACCCTAGCCCTAAACCCTAAACCCTATAACCCCAGCTCAACCCACTTGGGTGGCCTCCGGAGGTGCACCAGCTGCTCCGAAAGCGCAGCCCCATCTCCAGCCAGGATGGCCCGAAACAGGGCCACGGGGCTGTACCTCGACAGGGTTTAGGGCTAGGGTTTAGGGTTTAGGGCTAGGGTTTAGGGTTTAGGCGTTATGGGGTGTAGGCGGGGTGGGTTCAGGGGTCAGGGGGCTTTTTGCACTCCTGAACAGGGTGGGCGAACGGCATCGCAGGGACTTCAGAAGGTACTGGGATGAAGAGCGTGCGGATAGGTGGTGGGTTGAGGGTGGAAAGCCGCAACTCTCAACTAAGCAGATGGTCAGTTCTCAGACTCATGGTGCCTTTTCGGGCGCCCTAAATAGTCGTCGCCGCCCTAATAATGACACCAAAAACGGGTCCAGCATAACCCAAAACCCTAAGCCCTAAACCACCTGAGACCTCTTGGGGGTCGAACTTCTGGGTAGCCCTCGGGCAGTTCTTGCCTCGAGATGGAGCCCTTCTTCTTCGGATAGTCGATGCACCTTAGGGTTTAGGGTTTAGGGTTGCCGGAACTGACTTCAGCCGCATCTACCCAAAGCAGCCTTCACCTCGCCTTGTGGCGCATGCTCCCACCCCGCTCTCCTCCACAACAGTCTTGGGGAAGGAGGATGACTGATATTGGCTGCTAAAGAAGCCCTCTACCCAAAAGCTCCTATGTAGTACTTCTTTTGGGGTATTTAGCACACGAGAATCCCCTATACCTAGCCCAAAAAGGAACTACATTGGAGCCTTCAGGTCGTCCTCTCACAGCCTGAACCCCTCAACCCACCAACGCCCAAAGCTCTGAGGAGTTTCTTCGTAGGGTTTAGGGCTAGGGTTTAGGGTTTTAGGGTTTTAGGGTTTTAGGGTTTTAGGGTTTAGGGTTTAGGGTTTAGGGTTTAGGGTTTAGGGTTCAGGGTTCAGGGTTCAGGGTTTAGGGTTAACTCGCATTCCAGCGGCTGGAGGAGCGTGAAGCGCGACAGGCCCGAGCACCCAAGCAGAGGGCAGTCGGCCACCCCTAGCCTGGGGCTCCAGAGAATGGGCAAGCGACCTAGGGTTTAGGGTTTAGGGTTTCCGATATTAGGGGTACCTTCTTGGGGTCCTTCTTATAAGGGAATCCGACTACTTGGGGAATATACTAGGCGTCCCTCAGAGATCTACGAATTCTTATAGGGGCCTGAATTATAATAATTAACAGGGTTTTGGGGGGTTCTTATGGCATAATTATAAAGGGGGCCATAAGGGAATACGATTCGAAATTATCCCGACCAGGATGATTCTTGGGGGTTCAGGGTGGTGCTTAGGGGCCTGTGCATACGTCAAGAGTTTTGGGGGTGGGAGTGTGGGCATGCAGGCAGGGTTCTGGGTTGTAGGATGTTGTGGCAACGGGGAGCAGGGGGGCAGAAAGGAAAACCGTCCTCTTCTTGCTTTGGAATTGCGAATGCAGCCTCTTGCTGGTTTGTGCCGTGGCGGAAGGCTTGGACATCTCGCTGCCACGATTTCGCGATGTTTCGTGGAAGTTGACAGCTTTCGCCAAATCGGCGGATCTTATGTTTCCGGGGTGTGTGGAGGGTGATTGAGGTTGAGAGCCCGGTGGCGCATGCGTCGGTGGGCAGAAGTGACGGTGAATCTCGGTAGCGACATGAAGCAACGTCATCGTTACTCCAGACGGAGACTTCTCTTTTAGGGGCACATGATCATAGAGCAAGTACAGATACAAAACTATGTCACGCCGGCCGTCTGCAGGCCATGGCTCCACGAAACGACCCTCACACATCCTCCGGCCCTGAGTTCACAAAGGAAGCTCGGATGACGAAGCAAAGCTGCAGCGCAGCAACACATGACGAGCCCCAACCCAAAACTGCGACAGATCGGCCCGTGACATGAAGCAATTGCTTAGGCCTTTGGAGGTAGTTTGACAGCCTCCGGGATATGCCGAGCCAGGACCACTGCAGCGTCAGGAGAAACACAAGAAGCGTCAATTCGGAAGAGCACACACACGTAGCCTGGTTCCCTTCCTTTCCCCCACTTAAAACTTCCCCCAAGCAAAGCCCTTCTTGCTTTGAAGCCCAGAGAAGGAGCTCTGACACGTGTGGGGCCGAGGAGCTTTGGCTTCAGCTCATACGTGCGCCCTTGCGGGCAGAACGTCAGGTCCGGGCACAGCATGCCATGCACGAAGCTTCCTGGTGGGTTGGGCTTGAGGAGTGTCTGGGCATAGTGGGGCACCAAGTTCAGGGTTTAGGGTTAGGGTTTAGGGTTTAGGGTTTAGGGTTTAGGGTTTAGGTCAAGGGTTTCCCTAGGCGTTCCACCTCAAGTATCGTTCCACCTCAATTTCAGCGTGCTGCTTCAGCGCGAAGCCCACGCGCTGAAGCAGCACCCAAAATCGAGGCAGCACCCAAATCGAGGCAGCATGCATTTGGCACGGGAATTTGGCCTGGCATGTTTCTTCTCAAGCAAAATAGCCTTTCTAGCGAAACCCAGTTGATTTTCACAGCGTGCCACCTCGACTATCGTTCCACCTCAATTTCAGCGTGCTGCTTCAGCGCGAAGCCCACGCGCTGAAGCAGCACCCAAAATCGAGGCAGCACCCAAAGCGAGGCGGAATGGCTATGGAACTCCTTGATTAGGGTTTAGGGTTTAGGGTTTAGGGTTCAGGGCCACTTGCCTCGCTGACCTGTCGGACATTTAGGCTCGTAGAGAGCTTGGGCCATTTGCCGCGAGGCTCGCTTGAAGGACTTCTTAGGGCTCAGCAATCACAATGTTTACAAGAAACTCAGGGAGAGGCTCAGGAGAGACTATAGCACCAGGAACGCGCAGAGGGTTTAGGGTTTAGGGTTGGGGTTTAGGGTTTAGGGTTCGAAGTATCCCGCAAGGCTACTGATTGCGCAAGCCCGCGCCATGCAGGTAGCACTCTCAATCTTTACCGAACTGCCCCCGTGTGGGGGGTCAGCATCATGAACCGATGCATGCAAAGGCCGTCGCCAACTGCCAGGAGTCAGATGCCACTAAGAACGAGGGCTTAGGGTTTAGGGTTTAGGGTTTCGACTCTTAAGCATCAACCCAGCGAACCCATTCGCACACAATCCCTGCACGCCCCTCAGTAAAAAGCCTGCATCAACACAATACCCAAGACAAAAACCGCAAGCGCTCCCCTATATCTGTCTTATAGAGCCCATATATACCTAAGTCGCCCCTGAATAACCCCTAAGGTTCCCTAAAAGGGTCCCCTTTCAGCCCTTGAGCCCCTCCTCCTGAGTGAGGCCTTACCTTATACACCCTAAGCCCTAATTTAAAGCCCTAAGCCCTAAGCCCTATAAGCCCTAAGCCCCCAAGCCCCTACGCCCTAAGCCCTGAAGCCCCTAAGCCCCTAAGCCCCCAAGACCCTACGCCCTAAGCCCTAAAGCCCCTAAGCCCTAAGCCCCTAAGACCAAGCCCTAAGCCCCTAAGCCCCTAAGCCCTAAGCCCTAAGCCCCTAAGCCCTAAGCCCCTAAGACCCTACGCCCTAAGCCCTAAAGCCCCTAAGCCCTAAGCCCCTAAGACCCTAAGCCCTAAGCCCCTAAGCCCCTAAGCCCTAAGCCCCTAAGCCCCTAAGCCCTAAGCCCTAAGCCCTAAGCCTTAAGCCCTTCTTTTGAGCCCGTCCTCCTGAGTGAGGTCTTGCATCCAAATCCCGGCACTTGGCAGACAGCCTCTCCGGGCGGCGCTTTTGCTGAACCTCCGGATCCTGGCGACCAGCACACCCTAGGATGCTCCCCCTTATACTCACAGGTTTAGGGTTTAGGGTTCAGGGTTTGGGGTTTGGGGTCTGGGGTTTGGGGTTTAGGGTAACAGTCCTTAACAGGGATTATGACAAGGGTACTATGATCCCTATTAAGGACTGTTAGTGTAAGGGGAAGCATCCCAAGGAATACTCGCTACCCTTAGAACCTGAGACGCTCCTCCGAGCCGGCAGGTCGAGGGTCTACGGGTTTCAGTGAAGGGGGCTCGAGGGCTTTGTCGAGGCGGCGCAAGGCCCGCGGGCTCTTATCCCTAAACCCTAAACCCTCTCCCACTTTCTCTCCCTCTCTCTCTCTCTCTCTCTCCCGCTCTCTGGCCCCTAAACCCCAAACCACTCCTAAGCCCCAAACCCTAAACCCTAAACCCCAAACCCTAAACCCTAAGCCCCAAACCCTAAACCCCAAACCCTAACCTCTAGTACCTTCGGACCTATACCTCCAACCACTGCGGCCCAGGCTCCACGTTCAAGCGTTCGAGAGCTGCGGCTGACACTTCCTGACGAAACGAGTTCTAGAATGTTCAAGGGGGTTTAGGGTTTAGGGTTTAGGGTTTAGGCTTAGGGTTTCTTCCTAGGGTTTTGGGTGCCTAGCGTTTAGGGTTTAAGGCTTAGGGTTTAGTGTTTAAGGTAGCAAAGCCTCACAGGCTTAGGGTTTTCAAGGTCTCATAGGTTTAGGGTTTTAGGGTTGAAGGTACCTCTCTAAGTCACAGTCCTTTTCTAGAAATCCTGCTTGCAAGGAGCCCTTTGTAGAACAGCTCGACACTGGATCAATACCGAGCGAGCTAACATTGTAGAACTACCCGAGGGCTCCTATGTAGTACTTTTTTGGGGGTAGTATACTAGAATCCCCTATCACTAACCCAAAAAAGGAACTGCATTGCAGAATTTGGGTATGGTCTCAACAGATGATTCATCTCAGTCCCCGAGAGTCCACCAGTGAGCCGAAGGCCACGTAGCCCTCCTGGCTGGGGTGGCGATTGAGGGTTTAGGGTTTAGGTTTTTGGGGTTTCAAGACATTGAGGACTTGGGTTGCTACGCATACTCGACTTGCTAGACTACGTTGTGACGTTGAGGAAATGCTTGCGACAGCACCTCCCTAACACCCTGAATCACAGAATGCCAGAAGCCTCTGGCCACTTGGATGTGCATGGGCACTAAGTCGGGGTATTCACCCAACTACAACGCTTTGTAACCCGACTTGGAAGTAGGAACCCAAACCAATTCACGCCGCTGGGTTGGCCCGTTGAACCCTCTTGTTTCCAACTAGGTGACCGGGTGGGCTTACTCAAGCAGTGTGCCACCAAAGGCAGGGAATGAAGCGACCCTGAGTCTCCAGGATAGGCTGGAGCACCGCCCGCTGAAAGTGGAAGTCCGATGTCAGCCTCGGACTGGATCTTTTGGGGCTGTTTGGGAACTAAGCGCTCACACTCGGACAAGCCTGGCGAGGCACACACTGTCTGGGGGTTTCTGGTCTAGGGTAGAGGGTTGAGGGTTTGGAGTGCTGAGGCTGATGTTTTGACAGGAGCATTGCAGCCCCCGTCAACTTCCGGCAGCCGCCAAGAAAGCCCTTGCACCGCCGAATCCCTACGACTCCAAAGCCCTCACCTCCTAAAACCCTAAACCCTAAACCCTAAACCCCAAACCCTACCTGCTGCGGGGATCAGCAGCTGTCTGCTCGCTCCGGCGCCCTTACGCAATCGCAGCACCAGGCCTTGCAGATCCTCCGTTGATCCGGCTTCTCCAATACAACCTCTTAAGAACGGGAGCCCTTTGTTTGTTTCGCCGGGGCTGTCTAGGCTTGGGTTCGAGGATGAGATTGGCATCTTCAGGGCCCGACAGAAGTCCTTGTTCTCGCCCTTGTAACGCAGAATCATGTTCATGCCCCCTTCGTTGACATACTCCCAGTAGGCAGCAAGATCTTCGGCTTCGTCTGCCGGCAGCTTGACGGGCGCAAGGGCCATCTTGCTGGGGGCTGATTATGGTTCTGATAAACAGAAAGAAGATACGCATGTAAACATAAACGGTCTAAAACCAAGAGTATCTACACTTACATATGCACACGTGCTTCTTGTGTTGTTGCATATCTATATCTAACTTTTGTGAAGAGTCCATGTACGGTCAGGCTAGATAAAACTGAAGCATTTGGGGCTTTTAGGGGCTCTGTTCCCTGCACGCGACTTCTCCCGACACTTGAGCCATGAAGGTCTACGCAAGCAGCCATCCTTCAGACTCCCAAAAAACCCCTGCACCCTCACTCAAACCCGAAACCCTTTTGCCGAAAAACCCTAAACCCTAAACCCCCCAAACCCCCCAAACCCCCCAAACCCCCCAAACCCCCCAAACCCCCCCAAACCCCCCCAAAAAAAACCCAAAGCCCAAAGCCAAGAAGTCCAGAGTGAAACCCTGGTGGGGGATTTATGGGCTGGACGACGACATGCAATTTGGAGTTGAAGGTTGCGGAAGGCTGCCTACTTATGAAGCTTGCGCTGCTGAGGTAATGCGAACCCAGACTCAGACTTGAGCCCCACATTCTATAGGGGTCGGAATCATTACCAATAGTATTCCCTTATGGTCCCTTTGTACATATACTATAATAACCCAAAAAAACCCAGTTCTTGTTATGAAGACTGCATTATTCGCCTTAGCACCAGCATGAGATCAGGTCTCGGGCTGGGCAACTACACACAATGTGTGGAACCGGATGGGCGAACTTGTGGCTGTGCAACTAAGTCAGGGGATGCTTTTCCTTCCGGTTATGCTTAGGATTTAGGGTTTAGGGTTTATAAATAGGGTTTAGGGTTTAGGGATCTCTCTCTCAATCGAGCAACAAAGAAGGCGCCTGAGTTGTGGCGCACTTCTAGAGTCTAGATGCTGGGCTCTCAGAACATGGTCTACGAACCGAAATCCGACTTCCAGCCTCTCATCCAACACAAGCAAAAAAGAATACGTATTTAAATTCATTCACATATGAATATAACAGGCAAATAAGCCGTAAACCCTAAAGCCTAAACCCTAAACCTGAACCCTAAACCCTAAATGAGGAGAGAGAGAGAGAGAGAGAGGATCGAGCCACCCCTTTCAGGGTGATAGCCTGTATGTGTCCCGATCGCTTGCCTTCTGCGCGTCCTCTCTCCTTCTCTGTGCCCACAGCACCTGGTGAACTTGCGGTAGAATCGTCCAAAACTGGGACGAAATCAGCTGGATTTTTGTCTGCCCACCACAGGCTCCAGACATTTGCCAAACCAACTGCCCCAGTGATAAAGTCTAGACATCGCTACCCTAAACCCTAAACCTTAAACTCTAAACCCTAAACCCTAAACCCTAAGGACCATTCACTGGACGTGGGCCCAAGCCTCGGTGACCTCACCCTTGTAATATGGGCTATAAGGGGTTCTGTGCAGGACGGGGCCTATGCTTGCTCACACCGATTTAGGGTTTAGGGTTTAGGGTTTAGGGCATACAAACCCAAACATCCCTGCACGTATGTCGTATGTGCAGCTTCGGGGCTAGTTGTGAGGTAGACTCGTGAGAATGAACGGAATGTATCATCATGACCACAACAGCAGTCACATCGATGTATAGCTATGCTTAAGTTTCGTAGTAGAACGCCAGAATCATCATAACCTGTCACAATACATTACAAAATACCACAGCAAGTACGTAAAATCTCAGCAACAAAGCCGAAACCAATTCCCTCCAACGGACCCTGGATCGGCGTAAGCCTTGCCCAGCTCGTGGTAAGCGCTGGCAGTCAGCGGCCTGCAGAAAAGATCGGTTTTGAACGCCCGGGCACATGGAGACTCTAGCGCCACTGGCTGGCTGCTAGAGTTCCTGTCGCACATCGATCAAGATTCGGGGCAGGATGTTAAGTTCAGTTCTGGGGCGCAAGAGCTTGGTTCGGTTTGCTGCGACCATGGCATGGCGCAACTTGAGGAGTTGACCATCTCCGGGAAGAACGAAACTCGCAGCACGGGAAACCACATCAAGCCTGGGTCCGGCGTCGTTTAACGACATGGCCCTGCAACATCTTCCATACAAATCCACACAACCCTAAACCCTAAACCCTAAACTCTAAACCCTGAACCCTGAACCCTGAACCCTGAGCCCTGAACCCTGAACCCTGAGCCCGAATCCGAAAGCCATGATGAGCCCTGTTGAAGCCGCACTTGATGACTGCCAGCACTTACTTGCCCTGCCTCGCCTGCTCGACCTAAGTAGACCCCAAAACCCATTGCATCCTGATCCCCAAACCTGCCTAGTCCAGGGTTCCCCAAATATGGGCCCTTTATTTGGGTCCCTTGTCATATAACACTTGTATTCTACTGTCATTACATATTAAGGGCCAATGCTTCGGGTGCCCATAAATAAACATGAACCCTGGTTCCAAGCTACTATTTGCTTAAGAAATCCAAAAGAACAAAAAACATGATCCTTATATTGCCCTGAATAAGGGAGCACATTTTTCGAGGTTTCTTAAGCAATTAATAGCAAGCCCTGAATCTGTTCTTAAGCAATTCGTAGTAAGCCCTGAATCTGTTCTTAAGCAACTAGTAGTAAGCCCTGAATCTGAGCTTGAGGCGATGTCTCGCCACATGTGACCTTTTCGTGCAGGCGCAGTCAGGTTGTTTGCAACTTGTCCTCGAACCTGTTGCCCGAACCCAAAAAATCCAGCTATACTCCCCTCAGAACCTTAATAAAAACAATATTTTTAATACCCTCTTGATTCTAGCTTCAGACCTCACTTCTGCAGCTGGAACTTCAGATGTCTCTGCGTGCCGGTGGTGCTTCTGAACCCGCCTCGTACATGTCCACAGCCTCTCGGATGTAGGCCTCTGCCTGCGCGCTTTAAGCCAAAGCCCTCTCTCTGAGATCGCACCCGTTCCCCGAAGCCCTGGAGCGACTCTAACCCACAAATAATTTGACAAGCCTGCAACATCAAGTGGCCTCTCTGCAAGTGGGTTTCAACGCGGAACCCTGCAGACAGGAGTGTGGACCTTGTCCTGGATCTTAGCAGAGAATGAGGGAATTAGGACCCTATATTATACCCCTTAAGGGAGTATATAGTTGTAGGAGTTGTAGGGTACCTCATTTCCTCATGCCCTAAGAACCAGCCAGCTTTCACTCTGCAGTCGGCAGGGCCTCGGAAAGATCTTCAAGCACAATTGGCACCGTGAGTCTCAATGAACCGAACGAAATTCCCGACACGCCCAGCAAGCCCAAAATCCATCCAAGCCCGAAACCCTAAACCTTAAACCAATTTTGCCACTGGTCTAAAACCTAAACCCTTTTTAAGCACGGACTGAGGAGGCTGCCGGCAACACCTAAACCCTAAACCCTAAACCCTAAACCCTAAACCCTAAACCCTAAACCCTCGCGCTGCCTCCTTGAGCTGACCCAGCTTCGCATGGATCTTGGCACAGGAGATGCCGGCCTGGAGGTCATGCGTCCTTAATCCCCTCCTCTTCATGTTAAACCCCCCTACCCCCTGATATTAAATACACCCCCATTCGCATACGCTAGAATATCACGATAGTCAGAGTACTTGCTATTCGGGGTAGGCTAGGGGGGTTGATATAAGGGGGAAGGTAATTCCAGCTAGAAACTGGCTATAACCTTGACGAGGGTACTGATAACCCCACTTGCAAGTCCCCATGAAACCTCCAAGCAGAGCTGGCATTGGCAAGATGGGCCGGAATCACAAAGCCCTAGGCTGGATCCATCCTCAGTTAACCAGCCAGGCGCGTGCGGAGGCATTTGTGCAGGCATGTTCATGCAGCTGTCTGCTTTCCGGGCCTGCTTGTGCTCATGTGTTTGGCTCCTGCAATCGCTAAACCCTAAACCCTAAACCCTACACCCTAAACTCCTGAACCCTCAACCCTAAACCCTAAATCCCAAACGCCCCCTAAACCCTAAACCCTAAAGTGCAGGGCACCCCCCTTGCAGACAATACCCTCACCCCTGCCTTGGCCTGCAGGGAGGCGGGGGCGCCATTGGCCCGCTCCTGATGGACACAACCAAAGTAGCAAATGGCCCATGTGCACATGTGCATATATAAAACCAAATATAATATACATGTATATATATATATATTATATTACATTATATTATATTGTATTGTATTGTATTATATTATACTACCTTGTATTATATTGTATTATACTATACTATATTATATATTATTATATTAAATTATACTATATTATTAATATTATATTATATTATATTGTATTATATTATATGAATTATATATATATATATATTATATGTTTTTTATCAATCTATATATATATATGTATATATATTTGTTTATTTATTTATTTATTTGTTTTTTTTGAAACTTGCCTATATTTATGAATAGCACAGCTATAAAATACGGCAGGATGTGTGGGAGCTGTCTCTGTAAACAGAGTGGGCGCCGCAGATGAGTGTGAAGCCACAGGGTGCAAAGAGTCTGCTCTGAGCCAGACCGAAGCCTAGGGGCGGAGAGTCTTCGGACCCTTTTATGGTTTAGGGTTTAGGGTTTAGGGTCTTTGAACGGACATTAGCTGTTTATGAGTCTCCTGGCCAAACCAACGCTGCGGCCTGAACCCTGGCCGTCACTGGCATGCTGGCCTTGTAGAACTCGTAGGCCTTCCGACACACCTGGGTCGAGCCACTGTAATGTTTCACCACAGGGCTGGGACATGGTGTGTTTAGGGTTTAGGGTTTAGGACTCAGGGGTCATACATCATGCGCTAAAGACTGGAAAGGTTGTCATTCGCGAAGACGGCATCAGCAACGACCGTCAGAATGGTGTTGAGGGTAAGGGCAGCTCCAATAAGTAATACTGCAATACGGCCCCTGGCAGTAATCTTCGGGTTGCCAAACGGGATCCGCATATAAAGAACTGGCCACTTGCATCAATCAGGCATTGGCAATCAAGCGTGACTTCAATCAAGACCCTTAATCATTCTTAACCTTTTGCCCTGAGAGGGCTCTTGACGTCCTGTTGCGGAATAAAGTCACACTCCCTTCTTTTGAGATCCCTTCAGCCAGTTCCTGTGAACAGGTCTTGGGCTAGATATTCAAATGGGATAAACCCGAGCCTGCTGTACTCCGATTCGCCCTCTTCTTTTCACGCCCCCCCCCCCCCCCCCCCAAAAAAAAAAAAAAACACACAGGGCCCAGGCCGGCAGCGCTTCCTTTTGCTTGCCTAAGCGGTCCTGGCCAGGAGTGTCGGGTTTGGGACTCAGGGTTGTGGAACCAAACTCTCTCCCGAACCCGAAAAATCCTGTGGAGGGGTGGTCGGAATTTGGGCATCGGTGGTAACTGATGTTGCTTCTAGGGCATCTAAGGGTGCACGTTACGCCAACTCCCTAATACTGGAGTACAAACCCTAAACCGTCTGATAAAGGAGGCGCGCCTACAGCCCTCGATGTTGGCCCAGCGTAATTACTCTAACCTCACCATGCCATGGGTCGGTACACCATTAGCTTTCAGCACTCTCACTGCCTCCCGCGACGCGCCGAGAGTTGTTTCGGAGTTGAAGGTGTAGGGTTTGAGGTTTCTCGTCCACTGCCTGCAGCAAGATTGATTGGTCCACACTGGTTCTGGCAACAGCCTTATGCCCAATTCCGCAGATACGCCGGATGCCACAAGCCCTCACCACAAGCCTTGAGAGCCCTCCCACAAGAACGACCCCATAAACCCTCCACCCCTGGACCCTGCGGTCCCGCACGATTCCCAGGCCGAGAAGGACCTCGCCAACGGCGGCAAAGCTTGAGCAAAGCTCCATTGTCGGCTGTAAAGATCGGGCTTTCGGAAAAGCGTGGGTATCAGACTCCGTTTTTCCGGCACGGCCAGCTACATGGGAGTTTAGGAAAGTCATGAAGGGACCCCAAATATAGACCCCCAAACAGTAGGATTCCCGGCGCTTGAAAGACGGACCCCAATAAGGTCCCCCTAATTTCGGAAACTTCCAGAGGGCCGGAGAAAGTACTCGTAGTACTCCCTGATGGTCCCTGTAGAATTATACATGAACCCGAAACCCTTTTTGCATCCTAAACCCTAAACCCTAAACCCTAATCCTAAACCCTAAAACTACCCAAAAGCTGAGGGCGGCACTCCTCCCCGGTTCCCCTGCGGCACGGGCGGGGGCCATGGCAGGGGCCGTACTTTGGTCTTCGGACTCAGGGCCCGTTAAAGTTTATATCTGTTTCAGGCGTGAACGCGAAAAACCCTAAACCCTAGCCCTAAACCCTAAACCCTAAACCCCAAACCCTAAACCCTAAAACACCTGATTTGCGGAGGGCTTCTGCGTTTGACAGGCTCAGCTTCCTATACGCCCTGATAGCACATTGATGAAAACGCAATCGTTTCAGTGTCCGCTTTGGTTTTCCTACAGAATTGCTATCGACAGGCCGAAGAAGACTATACATTCAGGGCGTAGATTCTAGCAGTTGGCCTTAGTGTTCAATTTTGAGTCTGCATTGCCCTTCATAGGTGTGATAGTCCCAGATGGTCTCTGTCATTAACTCTACCTGAACCCTTGCAACGCCAAACCAGCGAGCTCCATTTCAGGTGCTTTTGAAGCAGCTTGGGCACACCTGTCTACCTCTCTCTGCCTCCCTCCCCCTCTCTCTTTCACTCTCTCTTTCTCTCTTTAGCTCTCTCACGCCGTGAGCCGGGAATAAAGATCTCAAGGTTTTGCTTTTCCTCGGTTAGGGTACTCTATTGGGGCCCTGCGACCCTGAACCCCGGGTTTAGAGTTTGGGGGTTTGGGGTTGCGGGGTCTAGGGTTTACAGAGGGGTTTAGGGTTTGGAGGGTTAGGGTTAAGGGTTCACTGAGGTTTCAGGATTGCAGTTTCTTTCAGACCGCCAGGGCTCTGCCGACCCATCTCGCCTTGTTGAGCCCTGCTTCCTGCTCGATGAACTTCAACGCCTCACGGCGGGCCAATCCCATGAACCCTAAACCCTAAACCCTAAACCCTAAACCCCAAACCCCAAATCCTTAAGCTAAGATGCAGCTCAAGGCTGAGGATGGCGCGGGCTGGTGATCACTGACTGAGGAAGGGTAAGGGCTTTGGTGGTTTGGGGCTGTTTTTTGATGCTTAGGGCTTAGGGTAACTGAAGAAGGGTAAAGGCTTTGGTGGTTTGGGGATGTTGTTTGGGGTTTATTGGTTTAGGGGAAGCCGAATAGAAAGAAGGTCAATCCGAAAGCCCACCCTAGATCGCCTGGCGCAGGTAGTCCTCGGCCTTCTCAAACTCCCCCAGGGAGTTGTATGTGTGCCTCTGTGCACGACTTGCTAAACCTTAAAACCCTAAAGTTGTGAGGTTCCTACACTCCCCTTAGAACCTTAATAAAAATAGTGCGTGCTTAAATTCCCCTTGGGTTTTACATAAACAGAAATGAAAAATAGTTCCCAAGGGGGATATAGGTTCATGTCGAGGCTGCAAAGGCTTGCCGCGGACGCAGCAGTGCTACTTCTAGGGCTCACTGAGGTAATGAACCTCTATTCAAATCTACCAATGGACCAATTGCTTAAGAATCCCCAAAACAAAGAAACAACAACAATCGTCCTGATAAGGGAAATACAGGGATTAGTGTTTTTTGGGGGGTTCTTAAGCAAATAGTAGAGATTCAGTGGTTGGTCAGGAGAAACCAATGCTTCCTTCTGCCTGTCTAAGCTGCCTTCTGCCATGTCCGCAAAGGACCCTTTCCACATGTTTCGAACATCTACATGAATAGTGATGGCTCCGGCACAACATCCAATTCGAATTAAACACCTCATATGTGTTCAAAACATGACATGATGATGTTTCTGCAATTCACCAAGAGTGAGCGCACGACTGCCGCGAGACCACGATTTGGACCCCAACGCCAAAAAGACAGCTCTGCACTTCGGAAAGAGTAACACGTTTTCGAAGCCAACAAAAGAACGCAAGCTCTGTGCTTCGAAATGAGCACAGCGCTGATGTGGCAGCGAGCGGGACAGCAACCTACCAGGCACCTGCCACCCCAATGAGCGTGCGTGCACTGTTTGGAAAAATTGAAGCCCTCCCAAAAAACCCACAAAGCCACAAACCCTCGAAGCCCAATCTTGCCAGGACGACGCGATGTTCTCACAGAGCGCAGCGCCTTACATCTGCAGCGGTCGCTGCACTGACTATGGGCTAAACAGGTCCAGGGGTGGTCCTAAAACGAACCAAGAAAGACAATGTTAGGCTAGGGTTTAGGGTTTAGGGATTAGGGTTTAAGGGCTAAGGGCTAAGGGTTTAGGTTGAAGCATGAGGGCTTAGGGTTTCTGGGTTTCTGCAAAGTGGGTGCAGGCAAACCCAGGCATACATGCTACTCGGTATGCCCTTTGCTCCTTTCTGTGGCGTTTCTTCCCATCCGAACCCTCAAGCGCGCTTGCACTTTTCGCACTCTTTGAAGCCGCATGATGCTGAAGGCTCTTCTCTGCCTTGCTTTGTAGCTTCGATTCTTTCAATGGAAAAAGGCCACGCAGTAGACAAGTTCCACCCAGAAGAGCATCAGGGATGGGAATCATGCGCAGCCAAGGAAAGACCCCTCAGGAATGAGGAGGCTTGCATTGGAGATCGCGCATTTGGATCTGCATCTGAAGTCCCAAATCCTGCTTTCAACCCTGGCTCGTCTCCTTTTGCCACTGGACTGAGGGTCTAGCCAGTACTATGCAGGGCTCGTCTCCTAAATCCTTCTAACCTCAAGCCTTGGCCGCACAAACTCCGCCCACTCTAAGCTCGAAGCTCTTTCCCAAGTGGTTCTCCATCTCCTCGGTGTGCAGGAAGAGCAAGGCCCTAAACCCTAAACCCTAAACCCAGCAGGAGAAGGAGGGGGGGGGGGGGGGGCGGGGAAAGCCGCTGATTTTCGGGTTTCGGGGATCTCCAAGCCAAGATATATGTGTGAGGGAAACAACCTCACATACCCCAAAGCCAAACCCCATCCGCAGGCCGGCAAAAGCCCAGCGCAACCTTTGAGCAACGCAAGGGAGCAACCCACCCTAAACCTTGAAACCCGGAAGGCTTCCCCCCTCTAAGCTATCGGGCACAACCCTTTGCAACAGGCCTGCCACCTCACCCCCCTAAACCCTAAACCCTAAGCCGTTGGGGACTTTTAAGGGCTGTGAACATGGCTGCCTAAACCTTTCCTCAAACCGAAAGCCCATATTCTTCGGCCACTAAAAAAAGCAGCCCTTTATCAGGTTCATAACTGACCTACACCAAAACAAAAACATATTCTTAGGCGCCATTATAAAAACTGCCCTTATATCAGGTTCACAACTGACCTACAAAAAAACAGGCAAAAGGGAAGGAAGGAGGATAAACTTGCCTTCTGGACTTCATGGACTGAGGCCGGGTTGTTTCGGGGTTTTACGGGGGCTTCGGAGTCCCTTTAACATGGGGTTTAGGGTTTAGGGTTTAGGGTTGAGGTACTCAGGTACTTGGTGAACTGCTCAGGTACTTGGTGCTGGGCGTGGAAGAGAGGCAGAGCTTCGCGAAACCGCGACTGCTTCCATCCTGCATGGCGTGACGGAGGTATTTAGGATGTCCCTCCCGCCCCCCCTGCCATGAAGGTCAGTTTAGGGTTTAGGGTTTAGGGACTCTGCTGATTTTGGCTACTTGCTCTGGCAACTGTTGCTTAGGCTTTGGACACATGGGGTGCTTTTGCTACGATGTCTTCGTTCCGTGGTTGTTCATATGGGGTTCCCAAAATAGGGGGAGGGAGGTACCCGTTTTGGGCGGTTTCTAAAACATAGATTGCATTCTTTGTCAGGGTTCTGAAAGGGCGAATGAAAGACCCACGAGACACAAGCCACTGAACCCGAAACCTCAAGAACTCACACAACCTGAAAAAAGGGGGGTGGTTTTGGAAAGCCCTATAGAATCAAATTTCTCTGGCCCCAGGATAGTGTCAGGGCCCAGAGAGACTTAACACGATTTCTGCATCAATACCAGAAAAAACCATTTTGATCCCAAAGCCTTGTTGTGTTCCTAAAACCAACCCTAAACCCTAACCCTTTCAACCCAGCCTTCTGAAGTCAGCTGGGAAGGCCTTCGACAAACTTTGTGTCTAGGCAAACGCAGTAATCCCTAAACCCTAAACCCTAAACCCTAAACCCTAAACCCTAAACCCTAAACCCTGCCCCCTAAACCCTACCCCCTAAACCCTAAACCCTAAACCCCAAACCCTCAACCCTGTCTCTGCCATGGCTGGGACTCCGTGCGGACAAAGGCCAGGGCCTGAATGCCTTCCAACGTTTCATCGGTCGGTTGAGGTTGCGGGCGAAAGCTTTCCCAGAGGTTCCATTTGTAGTACAGTTGAGGGTTTGTGGTTTAGGGTTTAGGGTTTAGTATACTTGTATGGAATTAGGTACCCCAGAACCCCACGTAGTATGGTTTTTCGGGCACCTGCTTCCAGAGCGGCGCTACAAATGGATCGCGTGAGTTTGTGTTCGCGAGCGTTGGATGGTCCCCAGCACATCCGACAAAATGTTGTTACCCCTGATCGACTGGTAGAGGTCTGAAGGTCGGGTTGTTGTTGGTTTTTTTCTGCTTCGCGGCTTGGTGAATTCGAGCTTGACAGTGAGGACTGGGCTTTGGGCTTAGGGTTTGCAGGCTCGTTCGCTGCTCTGGGCTTCAAAAACAGTTCTAGGTTCATACATAACTGATTGATGGGCATTGATGGGCATATGCTGAAGCCAACTCTAACTTAACGCAACATAGTTGGCCTCAACCCGCTAAACACGTCTTAAAGCAACACAATTGGCCTCAACCCTCAGCCGTAATGCCTGAAGCTTCATATAGCTTCATCACGCACGCGCCTTTCATGTAGAATTTGTCCCCCCGCTTTCGGCAAACGGGCACGACCTGGCTGGGTCGGGCTACCTGGGTCTAAGGAGGACGTAGCAGGGGCTCCATCAACATGTGGCCGATCCTCAAAAGTTGGGTTAAGGGTTTAGTGTGAGCCCTATAAACCCTAAACCCTAGAGACCCCATAGACCCTAACCCTAAAGCGTCAGCCCTACACCGCCCCTCCTTGGAGGCACCCGATTTGCGGGGGGGGCCGCATTGCAATCGGACCCCCAAAAAAAACCCTCGGAACTCGAAACTTCCTGGAAGACAAGGCAGACGGATACCTAGCGCCAGAGGAGGGTGGGGGAAGGGAAGCCGTCCGAAAACCCTCACCTTTCAGCCCTTGAAAGCTGAAGCACCAGCCTCCCAATTCCCCAATTCCCCATAAACCCTAGAAAAACCCTATAAAAACCCTATATTATAAACCCTAGAAAAACCCTATAGACCCTAAACCCCCAGAAGCCTCAGCAGCCCGAAATGCCAAACGTGCGGCCGGCCCGCCTCCTCCAAATAGTCCGACAGCCTTAGGCAGGGACAAAGGGAGTGCTTTGCTTCAGGTCAAAGCACGATCTCTCGCGACGTGCAGCAAGTCACCACAAAAATCGGGTCAAAAGCAGGAGGGTCCGACGCCAGGCGAGCCGGGCAGTGGGCTGTCAAGCATCGTTAGTCGGGCTCGAAACTTCACAAGACCTCACATGCCCTTCGCTACACCTCTCAGTGTATGGATGTATGATGAGTATATGTACATCGATACTAGGCATCTCTCACTTCTTGAAGTCGGCAGTGAGAAAGCGCAGTGCTTTTCGCCCGAGGCTGGGAGTATCAGAATCTGCGGCATTTCGCGCAGACTCAAGCTTTCATCACAAAGTCTGTCTAGCGGCGGTTGCATGCGGTTGCCGCATGCACATCCTCCAGAAACCCTTTGGGTGTCTTCGGAGGCTTGGAAGACCCGAACTTTCCCATGCCACGAAAAGGATGGTCGGGGACGTCGAACCTCGGCACGAATGCTGCAGCGCTTACAAGATTCATGGCCAAACAGCATGTTTGGGAATGGCTTTCGCATCGCCGCATGGAGACAATCTGGTCCCTGAAGCAAACTTAATCCGCGGGAATCCCAGTTTTCCAGATTCCTTGAGCAGCTGTATCAGGTTGGTTTTCGGTTCCGGGTAGACTTGAAATCACAGCCTTTTGCGTGCAGACGTCGGACTTGAACGGGTGTTCGACAGACTGCAACCCGTGAGTCCGACTCGGCAACTCTGCCCAGCAACTGCCATACCGTCCTTTCTCACTCTAGGCAGCTCAGTAACCATACTATAAGGGTACCCTTTTTGGGGTTGGTTCCTAAACAAAAGGGAACCTAGCTACTATTTGCTTAATAACCCCCCCCCCCCCCAAAAAAAAAAAAGAGCAATCCCCATACTGCCCTTTTAAAGATTTGTTTCAATTCTTGAGTTGGGAAACTTCAGCAAGTAGCAGCTAAAACTCAACAAAGGCAAAAAAGGGTACAGTTGCCCAATCCAGGCCCAAGGGCCCACGCAGAAATCGGAAACCAGCAGAGTTCAGGGTTTAGGGTTCAGGGCTTCTGCGGCACCATCTCCTGCAGAGTTTGGAGTTTAGGGTTTAGGGTTCAGGGCTTAGGGAAAGCAGGCATGCTGAATCTGAAGCCGAGAGTGCTGAATCGGAAGCCAGGCCGGCTGATTCGGAAACTGGGAAACGGATGATTCGCAATATGCAAACTGGGAAACAGATGATACGGACACCGAGAAACGGATGACTTGGAAACCGGGCACGGAAATCTCGCATGAAGCCGCTGATTCGAGCACGTTTGTTTCTGCTGCCTTGGCAACCGGACGCCATTATTTCCCCGCCCCACAGCAGGTTGTGAGGCGTGGAGTATCTCAAGCAGGTTATTTCTGATGCTCGCAACCCGGACGTGATTTACCCCTGCCCTCTGGTGAGGAGTGGAACATCTGATTCGAGCGGGTCTGTCTCTGATCTATAGTTTCTGAGATTCGCAGCTCCTGGTACGGCCGGTTTCTGATTTGCAGTTTCTGACTCGCACTGGTTACTGACACGCTGTTTCTGATTCTTTGAGGTAGCTCCTGGTCCGAGTTAGGGTTTAGGGTGTAGGGTTTCGGGTTTAGGGTCTAGGGTTTAGGGTTTCGCCACGCGCACTGCAGGGTTTAGGGTTTAGGGTTTAGGGTTCAGGGTTTAGGGTTTAGGGTTTAGGGCTTAGGGCTTAGGGCTTAGGTTTAGGGTTTAGGGTTTAGGGTTTAGGGTTTAGGGTTTAGGGTTTAGGGTTTCGGGTTTCGGGTTTCGGGTTTCGACCCCCACATGCAACAAGCATCGTGCGTCGCTTGCTTCCAGGACACGGCCGTTCCTTGATCTGCGGAATGGACCGCAGCTGGTGGTCTCGATCGCAAGCTGTCACCCCGGTGACCACCTTCATGGAAACTCTTTGGGGGCTTTCGGGGGGGCCTACCCGGACCTAGACTAGACCCAAGAATAGCCTGGGAACAAAAAGGGGCGGCCTTTTTTGGGTTTAAAGGGGATTATAAGGTATAAGGGAACCTAAACCGTAAAAAGACGGAAATAAGGGCCTACTCTGGGTCCTAGTAGAATCCTAGAAGTACTCCCAGACCCACATTTCCTGCAGACCAGGGCATGAAAACCACCGGCGTGTGAGGGGAATTCTCATGGATCTTGCAACTCAACTTCGAGCGAGGACTCGGGAATTCTGCCATGGACGTAACCTGTTTGGGTAAGGATGCATGCTTGTGGTCGGCGGAACTGCAGCTCTTGCTTCATGTTCTTGACCAAACAGGTGAATCCACTGCCTCCTTCAGCCCGGCAAACGCGTCCTGCATCTGCCTGATCCTCCGACCTTCTTGGTGCACCGCGTCAAAGGTGATCTTTACCTCGGAGAAGTCCGAAGCCGGGTTCGAATGTACTTGGAGGTTCATGCGTCTAAGTAGGGTTATAGGTAGTGTAAGTGAAGATATCACTGGTTATAAGCTTGTTTAGGGTACTTAGATAAGTAGGGTTTATAGCTAGGGCAAGTATCGTTACAACTGGTCATACGCTTGTTTAGGGGACTAAGAACCCCACTTGTATAAAGTTCCCCTGAACTCCTGGGCTCTTTAAAGTAGGCGTAGGGGCCTTCAGCGAAGAAGGGGGGCTCTAAGGGTTTAGGGTTTAGGGTTTAGGGTTTAGGGTTTAGGGTTTAGGGTTTAGGGTTTAGGGTCCAAGGAGGCCTTCGGCTCTTGCAAAAGGGCAAGGACAGGATCGAAGGGCCTCCTGAGACCCCATGTCCCAAAGGAGGCTCAGAATTCTTGAAACCCTAAACCCTAAACCCTAAACTCCCTAAACCCTAAACCCTAAACCCTAAACCCTAAACCCTAAACCCATCGTGTCGCTTGGTTTAGGGCAGAGTTGCGAGTCCCTGGAGCCTGCAGTTGGAGTCGTTTACCGTGACCTTGTATCCCCCGCTTCACGCAGCCACAGGACTTACACAGGGTTTAGGGTTTAGGGTTTAGGGTTTAGGGTTAGCCAGGGCAAGAGTTGACTTCAACCTCCGAAAAGCAGGCAGCAATGCAGTACCCCTGGAGTGGCCCACCAGCCCCAAACCCGGCAACAAGCACATGGGCCAAAACACTCTTCAACCGCAACAACCCCCCAACCCCGGTGCAAATTCCACAGACCCTCTGTAAGAATACCCCCTGAGCGCCTCGGAAGTTTGAGAATGCTAGACCAGGTTGGCACTTGAACATTTTTTGAACAGATTCCAACTACACCCTAAACCCTAAATGTAAGGCCTAAGGAAAAGCAACCCCCACCCCTCAAGTTGTCAAACCAAGTGCGGCAAGTAGGGGGCCCCCAGTTCTCGGTAAAGTTCGAAGGGCTGTGTTATCTCTGTTCGAGTTCGGGTTATCCTGAACTGTTAAACCCTAAACCCTAAACCCTAAACTCTAAACCCTGTCCTGTAATATGCGGAAGGGAACCCGTACCTGCAGCAACTCACAGACACAAAGCCTAATCCCCCAAACTCCCGTTGAATCCACACCACCTTTAGCCCCCCACAAATCTCCCAAGTCAGGCAACCCGAACCCCTTTTTGCAGCTAGGCCTAATTAACCTTCTAACCCTGAACCCTAAACCCAAAACCCCTAAACCCCTGAACCCCTAAACCACCCCCGAAACTTCGGCTTCCCGGTTGCCGCTTGTTCTGTCTCGGCCCGCATGGCGGCTACCTGGACCTGCAACCAGGAAGATGGGGAGGGAGGGGGTGGGGTGGAGGGTGTAGGTTTGCGTTCGTGAGCTGCTGCACAAACCTCCTGCCGCCCGCAAAGGTAGTAAAGTTTGGGCTTAGAGGTGCTTGTGTGGGTGAATAAGATTTAGGCTCAGAAGGTTTAGGTGCTGAGTGCTCAGTGCTGAGGGTGTGGGGTGTGCACAAGGAAACAGGGGTCATTCGCAGTCGTCATGACCATAAGTTCCACATAGCAGGGCCCAAGGCTTTCTTGCTCAATGGTGACCAGTTTAGGGTTTTGGGTTTAGGGTTAAGGTTTAGGGTTTAGGGTTTAGGGTTTAGGGTTTAGAGAAAATGGATCGAACATCAGTACTATGTGGCTGGAGTCTCTTGTCAGCTATGCGATACAGCTCTTGTGCGACGCACTTGGTATGGTCATTATGCACAGGGCTTATGGGTTTAAGGTTGCAAAGACTGGCTGGTTCTTAGTAGGAATGACGGAGTTAGGGTGCTGTGTAATCCCTTAAAGGGATATCTACAGGGCCTTCATTCCCTCATTCCCTACTAAGAACCCAGGGGAAGAGGTCTCCTTGCGTCTGAATTTTGTTCGCGGGGAACCCTCCGCAAGTTGAGACGTTTAAGGCCCTTCCTAGTATTGTCATCCCGGTAGTCCGAAACAGCAACACTGGGAGAAAAATCAAGGTCTGCCCCACCAAGCTCTCATGTGTATAGTGTACCTGTACTGATTATAGACTGATAAGCTGCCCCCACCCAATGCCCAGCCCAAAAAACGACTCTTTTCATGTCCGATCGTGCATCTCAGAACACCGGGTAATGAAGCACACCACTTGAGAGACCCACCTCACAAGGCGAGGAGGACACGACTACCAGCTTAAACTCATCAGTCCAGCCCTCAGGCATGAATCTGGGAATGTCCCGGGTTCATGCGAATTCTTTCCCAGCCCGCCTCCGTGTCGAGCGCAAGCTGCGATGTGCGGACATCTGCCGCGGCCACCTGAAGCGCGGGTTAAGCACTGACATGGAGCTAAGTCTCAGGAGCTGAGCTGGCCCAAGAAGGTGAACCTTCTATATACAGTAGGATTCTATATACCCGAAAAGGTTAAAGCGCGACGTGTGCACAGCAAGTCCCCGGCGTCGAGCGTGAGACATGCTACAAATTAAAGATTCAGAAGTCAGGCGGAAAGCCCGGGGGAAGAGGCAACGACGGATGAGGAGGGATTCGATAATTGTACTTAAGGATGCGAACTCTGGGAACAA